TTATTATGGCTTGTTTGGAGGTGTGCATCAAACAAAGAATAATTAACTTTTAAATTGGTTTCTAGAGAAAAATTGCAAAATTCCTTAGATCATGATCATAAAAATGCAAGATAAATTCATCTAGCTGTAGCTGAGCAAAGTTTAAATAAACAAAGCAGCGCAGAGTGAGTCATGTAGGATAGCATGCCACTGCAAACAGACTTGGATGAAAGCTCTAATGTGCAGTTTAAACAAAGAAATGTGCTATTTATCCTGGGTTTAAGGAGCTGAAATGCACTCTTTTATTGGTCACAAAGTGATTTAATGTTTGCATCCGAGAAAATTTCAAATTCCTGATATTACCAATTTCCTATTTGTGTTAATCTGATGTAGAATCCAGTAGGGTTCCACTGATCTGTACTATGCACCATATATTGAATGGAGCTTTTTCAGTGCTTCTCAGTATTACCTAATTCCTTTTTCTTTATTTATGACTTAAGAGAGAATCCAAAGGCATGGAACCTGGTGGAAAGAACAGATATTTTCTGTCAGAATTAAGCACAGCAGCTGAAAAGTACACTCTGGTTCCTAAATAGCTGACAGTTGAAGCTATAAAGTCCAATTTACAGAAATTAAAAGTACCTGAGATAAGTTTTCACATACTTCAATTACATCTCTTCTGACAGGTATGGCCATTAGCTTGTATACTTTTAATGCTGATACATATTTTAGTGTCTGCAACACTTCTTAGTAACTACAACACTTTTGAGATTTTTAATCCTTCAGAAATAAAGAAAATAATAAAAATCTACTTTTGGACACAGGAGGAGAAAAAAATGTTAAACTTGCTTGACGATCAATTAGATATATACTTTAATATTTTTTTGCTTGTCTCCATTTTACTAGGAGATTTATACAGCCTAATGGGAGAATCGGGTTGAGAAATTAGCTTACAGTTTAATTATTTTTTACTGTACACATTGGCTACATAAGAGATCCTTAGAGGACCATGATCTTTGGGATCAAGTCTTCTGTGAAAAAGAAAGGGAAACACTCCAAATTGTGGCTGCACAGCACTTACTACTCTTAAGAGTTAATCTGAGAGGGGAGTTTATATTGAAATAAGAGAAAGAAACAGAAGCACACACAGGAAGTTTGGAGCTGAATTATCAGAATCCTGAGTAATGATTGGTAAATCATGAAAATCACAACCATCTAGACGTGTACTGTGAACTGGTATGTTTAAGAATGCATATCACTAATAGAAAAACCAGCTGACCACATGTACAGTCTCTGTTGACATTTATTGACTTTTTTTTTAATAAGAAAACATGACTGACACCCATCATTTCTTTGAGCAAAACCTGTTAGACTTTACAAGCTGCTGCCTTCTTCAACCACAGCAGCCTGCTACTGGTATATAGTTTAGATGGTCAGTAGATGAAGGCATGAGCAGAATGCAAAGCAGAAATACCACAAAAAGATCTGAGCATATGTATTTGATATAAATGTCATAATTTTATAGAGGCATCTAGATCAATATGCACCCCACTTCCTTTAGTTACTTGACAAGTGTGCACCAAGTATTCAACTGAATGCTGAACAGAATTTTGTATTTATTATTTTTGATTTATTAGAACAGACTAGTTGGACTGAGTTTTTTTAGGTTCTTTATTCTTATTCTAATTAAATGGATATTTCTTGCAAAACAAACAGGGAAAAGATTTATCCTTTCTATTGTGACCTCTGAAGGAGGAACCATGCAAAAATCCTTTTTAAAGAGTCCTATTTAGAGTGGATCTGCTTTCATTTACAGGGCTATTTACATGGTTTAAGTGTATGTTCTCAATTTTCTCATGCCAGAAACCTGGATGTTTTAATTTTTGCTAATTTCATTGTTTCCCATAATGAAACAGTGTGTCACTGTAGTAGCCTAGGATTTTTTGTCTCAATTTTTGTTTACTTTATAAGAAGCTGCAGTATTTTTAATAAATGGATCATTATGTCAATACTAGAGTGGAAGAAAATAGATACTCTAGAGAATTTCGATTATGTAGACTCACAGTTGAAATTAACTATGTACATCTGCACCAATTCTTCATATATGGAATATTTTCATATTTTTTTGTATTTATGAAATTCATTTTGAGAATGATAAATATATATGGAAGAGGATGGATTAGCCCATCTTTGTTGATAGAATATGGCTCCTGATAAGCTTTTGATTATTTGTAAAAGGATTATTTTGCAGCATCACAATAATATAATATGGATTCCCACTAGTATATTAAACCAGTTTCACATCTGACGTGTGTACCAATGACAACTACTACTTAACAAAAACCTTAGTCCTCCTAAATACCTATCAGTAATAAAAATGTCTAAATTCTTAAATCATGTTTTTCAGTATGGCAAGGTACTTTATAGATTTTGGTTTTAAAGAATAAAAAAAGAAATAATAATAATAATAATAATAATAATAATGTACTAGTTCTGAGGCTTTTCATAAAGAAAAGCTTAATGCAGAAGTTAGACATTTTTGTTGACCAAGTGAACTTAATTTTGTGTCTTTCTACTAACCAAGTCTTTTGCAGCAAACAAAAGACATCCACTATGTTGGCTTTACTTTCTCAGTGCATGAAAAGAAAATGGATGTTTAAAAAAAAAAATTTAAGTGAATACAATGGTTACTAAAACAAACAGAGGAAGTTATAAATCTTCAAATCATATCCAGGACAGATTGAAACATTATAAGTTCCAATATAAACTCTTCAAGTTTTGTTAAATAACATACCTAATAACTCTCTATGGGCAAGTAGGAAATCTGTTTTCAATTTATTTTACTTCTAAGCAAAAATATGACTTACATTAAAGGAAGGTTTTTTGGTAGAATGTTTCAACCAAAAATTAATGCAAGTATCTTATCAGAAAATATTCTTTGAAAGCCAGGAGGTTTTGTTGCAGTCAGGACACTGCCATGCACTGTGTAAGTATAGCAAAAAAGAGAAAAATAGGTTATGTCCCGCTCCAAATCAAAGTATAAAGTGAAACCACAGTGCAGATGCCTTTTAACACTCCAAAAACAATTAGTCCTGATACCCAATGTGAGAGTTTTTGGCAGCCAAATGTTTTATTTTCACTGGAGCAGATTGCTGTGAGTCCCTACTCTGTGAGAGTCATAACAGGATTGTACCAAATGCATCTGCTTTTAGCAGGAGCTTTTTGTAGCAAATAACCTCTGGAGGTATCTGAGAGCATGAATTACCTTGTAATCTTTTGATACTTTGATAATTTCTTCCACATGCAATACAATATTATGTGTTGCCATACTTTAAAATGTGGACTGTAATTAATGACACAAAAGAACCCATATTGAGTGAAATCATCCAGGGAGGTAATAAATTTTCTCCATAGGAATGTTCTGTATCAGAAGAGCATTCAGGAAGAGACCCAGCTAAAGCTAACTTCCCTGGATCACAAAGGACTTCCCTTCAATCAGGAATTATTTCTGCTATCAAAAGCAATGTATAAGCTATCCAGATGGAAAATTCAATTTCTTAATTAGTAATAGATGAAGAAATTTGAAGAAAATAATTCCCATAATTTAAAATCAGTTATCTTGGAAAATGTGCATGGACAGTATAAGGAATACAAATTATTATTCTTAGCTGCTATTTATAATTTCCCTGGGACTTGGTGGGTTTTTGATGCTATATATACTTATAGCCAGGAAAAGTCTGGAATACCACCAGACAGAAAGAACTTAGCTATATGTTAGACTAGTGTAGTGTACCAAACAGTCTGTTCAGAATTCACATCAAGTTAATTACTAAGGTTTTAAATATCTCTTCAGAATCTGAAGCTTCCTGAGGTTTTTCATTGCTGCTTTATGTATGACAATGCACTAAGTCATGTGTACACCTCTGGCAACTCAGGCAAGTGGCCATCAGGGAAACGGGCAGTGTAGGCATGGTTCTCCCCTGTACCCAGCGTGCTGCAAACTCTGCCAGAGGAACCTCCAGAGGACCCCTTTGCCCAAGGAAAAAGGAAAAACCTGATATATTTTGTGTCATATTTTATGATACTGTGCTTACCATCTCATAAAACAAGAAAGCTTTAACTCATGTTTTTGTGTTTTGAAGTGTTTGCAGGCCAAGAACATTTATTGCAACTAAAACTTATGTTAAAAAAAAGGCCAAAGCAGAAACTATGAATAGCAAGTTTAGCAATAAACATTCGTATATCGAGTTCTATGTTAAATACAAACTAGCATGGCCGGTGTCTCTTATAAACTTCTGTGTCTTGCCTGTTAAATAAAATAAACAATTGAAAGTTTAGATTGTTGCTATTTCTAAAATTGTATTTGAGTCCTCGTGATATCTAAATACTCATGTAAAAGGAGTTATCATATTTCAAAATAAATGTTTAACACCCTGTGCTCTGCCAGAAAAGTGATAATAGTAAACAATGACTTTTGGTTGTAAAGTACTCGCCTCTAGATTTTATGGTAGGAAAAAATTTCTTTTCATGCTGCTTATGGCCTGTAATTGGCAAGCTTTGCGCTACCTTCCTTGGCATAAAAGTCTGCTTCAACTGTAGAAAAATATTGAATCATTTTAGGGAGATTTGTTGTCATAACCCAAAAATTTAAACAGTAAATCTCATTAGAGGAGTTAAAGATATCAAGAAAGATATGTAAAATGAAGAAATATGACTTTGAAAGGGACTGGTTAATACAGTGCATAAACATATATATAGCTGATCCTACTTATTGTAAATGTGTAAAACAACCTGGGCAAATGGCTTTACAGCAAATGTGACAGCATGTATGTATATACATTTGCAGTTGCAAAAAACTTTTTGGAATTGTTATTTTTCTTCTCTGACTTCATGGAATAGGATCTAGAGAAACATCAAAAAAAGACTAATGCTCTTTTTCCTCAATAAGTTATCATTTCCACCTCTGCTTGCTTTCTTGTTTTACCTCCTTTGCAAGATTAACTCTGATTTTTCTGTAACAGGCACATAGTTGTCTGTGGGCACATAACACTTGAAAGTGTGTCGAACTTCCTGAAGGACTTCCTGCACAAGGATAGGGATGATGTCAATGTAGAAATCGTCTTTCTGCATAAGTGAGTATTCTTTCAACATTGGTCTTATCATCTGTTACTAAAACTCATTAGTGAATCTGTAGCTTCTGGGAAGACAGAGAATATTTAAAGTTCCAAATAGCCATAAAATTAATGCATTTGTGTTTATTAAAAATATATCCTGAGAAAAGTGGTTTTTTTCTGCTTTTTCCATAACCCCCTACTAAGTATATTTGTGTCGAGCAAACAGACTTCAGACCCAGTTGTGTTGTGAGGTACATAGCTAAATGCATAGTTGAAGTGGAGATTGGTGTATGAGATAAAGAATACTGAAATGCAAATAAATACATCAGACATTTTTTTAGTGGTAAATATTCCTAGGGAAACTATCAAAATTGGTAACATCAGTAAAACTAATGAAAAACACCGTATGTTTGCATGTTGCCATATAGCCATGCCTAGGGGAGGAACTGCCAGAAGAAGCCACGTGATAGGAGACAGTATCTTTTCTGTTCTGTAATGGTGTCTGTTTAGAAGAGTTGCAAGTTATAAATTAGTTATTTTTTTGCATTCAGAAATGCATTATGAACTTATTGTCAAAGAAAATTATTAAAAAGTTAAGGATATAATTTGTGATGATTTAACAGTGTAAGCTGAAAACTAAGCATTAGCAGTATTTCCACAGTTTTTTCATCTAATCCTTTCAATTTCGACTAGAGACGACATCCTCAAGTAATTACATCATTTTTTTGTATTCCCTCTCTACCCAAGAACAACTGTCTGGGAGAGGAAATTGGGATCAAGGTTTCCACAGTGAAAATGTGTGGTGGTAGGAATCAGGAAACTGCACATTTGCATGAAAGGAGTTTAGCACCTTGCTACTTGTGTTTGTGCCTGTAGCTATTCAATTCATTCTGTTTTAATGAGTGGCACCAGAAAAGATATTTACAAGGTTGGTGCCACATTATGTAATGGACTGTAATCAATTTAATTTTTCTTTGGTTTCTGGCAAAATGAAATGAGACAGAAAGCCATGGCATCATTGTGTTTGTTTTAATTGTAGCTCATAGAGGCCTCGGGGTCCCTGTCTGGTTTCTTATTCTGATTTTAGAGATCTTGCATTGAGCTGTTTTATTCAACACAGTCAGCCATTGTGGGAATGGTGGGGACATGCAGAGGATGATTGTGGTACTATGTAATTTCTGGGTAGAATGCTGTGGGAGAAGATGTTTTCAAAGGTTTGTGCCCACACTTCTGGATTCCCATCCCTTGGAAATGTATGCGTGATGAACGTGGAGAGTAGCACACGGTGGGCCAGAAGCACTGCAGGTGAAAGTAACAGTGAAAGCAATGTAGTGTTTATCTTTTAAGTAAGGTGTGCTGTTTCCATGCCACAGAAAAAGCATCAGCAGAAGTCTGAATATCTAAAATAAATAGATAGGTGGGTTTGTAAATGGAGGAAATGGAGCAGTTATGGAAATTGACCTCTCATTTGCTCTTGTGTTTTCTTCGTCTTTCCTATGCAGTATCTCCCCTAACCTTGAGCTGGAAGCTCTTTTTAAACGACACTTCACTCAGGTGGAATTTTATCAGGGTTCAGTCCTTAATCCCCATGACCTGGCAAGAGTGAAGGTAACAGCTTTGTTGTTCTGTTCTGCTAATTGACCTTTTTCTAAGTACTCTTTGCGTTATTTGGAAAAAAAACCTAAACACGAAAGCCTTTCTTCATGTAATCCCAAAAGAATGTTTTTCCATCTCTATTATCTTAAGTTATAAATTATATCTGTACTGGTAAACCTTTTTTCCCCATATCTTTATATCTTCAAAGCTACAGCAACTGTGACTTAAGATAATTGTCTGCCATTCCATTGAACTCTTTTGAATTTTTCATTGACATTTCATTCAAAAGTGTATTTTACATTAATATTTGATATAACAAGATATTGTCTTACAGTAATTGCTTAAAATGCTGTTGCCTAAATTTATCAGAATAATTTAAAAATATTTTTTCATACTCCAAACCCTTTTTCTGTTACCTAGAATCCTGAAAAAAAAATGCAAGTTAAGATTTTTGTAGATAAAGTTAGTTAGGTTTACTTATTTAGATATTTATTTTCTATAATTTCTAAATGGTAAATTATTTGATTCTTCTTAAAGCATGAAGTTTCAAAAAAAAAGAAAATTAAAGAAAAATCAAGTTGTCAGATAGATCGTTAACTTTTTAGTTTATTTTGATTTTCCAATGGAATATAAACTGGCAACTTAAGCCAAGAATATTTTAGTACAGTGTAATTAACACGTTCTGGAGTACTAATCATATCTTTTTTGTATTTTGACTGCAGAAGTTGCTTAAGATTTTTGTAGCCCAATGCACACTGTTTCAGTTCATCAGAGCATGTCCTAATTACGATCATAAAATTGTGTGTTCTTATTTTGTGTTCTGTATTCCACCCTTCTTTGTGTTGATATTTGGTTGTATACACTGGAAAATACTTTTGTCATCTGCTTTGAGTTCTGTAAAGCTCAGGTTTGTCTGAATCTAGAGGTCCTGTGGATAGATCAGTTGTCCTCTTCCTGCTTTCTAAATCTGGTGCTCAGATTCTAAACTAGTACAGCCACCTCTTCCTGTCTTGAATAGGAAGGTACTTAAATTCCCAAACAAAGCTGCAGGACTTGTGGGAGCACTGTACTGGTGCAACAGGACCTTCCGATGGATTTAGAAGTGTAAATTCCAGTATCTGGGTACAAAAGATTAACATTGCCACCTTTGTGGCTCAGCTGATACTGAGTAAGTTGTCAGTTGAACTGCTGACCTGCTCTGATCTTCATAAGCAAGTTTCAAGAAATTCCCTGTGTACATGAGAGTGGTTGTAATCACTGGCATGAACTCATGTTAGCCTAGAAACGTTTTTGATTAGCAATATTGAGAACTGACGCTCACACTCATGCAACCAGTGCTGGATTCCCTCATAGTTAATGAGGAAGGAAGAGCTGGAAAGAGACGTTGCTTTATATGTTTCCTTTTTCTTTGGTGTCTCAGATAGAGTCAGCAGATGCGTGCCTAATCCTTGCCAATAAATACTGCGCTGACCCAGATGCTGAAGATGCCTCCAATATTATGAGGTAAACTCTGTAGTTTTTAATAGCTTTTTAGCTCTTAACTCTGATTAGCTAATTTTATATCTGATCTGTTGCACTTAAAAAACACTGTAGGATTTTATTTTTTTTTTTAGAGACAAATGAAAAGATCCTCACCAAAGTCCAGAGGTGAGAATGCCCTAAATTCCTACCTCCATGCTTTCATGTCTCCTTAGTGTGTCAGAAGAGACACTTGGGGCACAGGCTTTGACACTCAATCGTTTTGCAGGAGCTAGTGTTTGAGCATTCCTAGCTGAACACAGAGAGGAAAGGGAATGCAGTCAGGTTGTTGCAACAATGCATGCATGAGTGCATGCACTGCAGGGGCTGTGTCAACAATGGGGAAGAAGCACCTTCAGTGCTTCATTCCTGCTGCTCCATGGTGGATCTGTTCCTGCAAGTAATGCACTGCTCAGGGGATAGCAAAGTATACAAGGGAGTTGTCTCCTGTCTCCATCCTGCTTTTTTTACACTGAAGACAAATCATTCCTTGTTTTGACTGGCAAGGCATTTATGACATTAGGGACCACCAGATCTCCTCCTGCTTTTCTCCTTGTAGTCTCTGAAGGGAGGAGATGAAACAGTCAGTCAGTAGATGGCAGCTAGAGTTACAGCAAACCTAAGCCATTCCATTTTTTGTTTTGTTCATACAATCCTAGTTTTAATGAGACCAGTCTCCTTTTTGAAATTAAAATTGCAGGTCAGTGATTGATTAAAAGTTCTCTCATATTGGATTGGACAGTGTTATAAACCGATTTTACTGGCTTGTCAGATGTTTGCATGCTGTGTGTTGAAGGAAGGGGAGAAATAAAAAAATTCTACTTAAATTGCTCTTATGGAAAATTACCACTGTGTGCAAGAGGTGTAGCTATCTGAGAATGACACAAGGCTAAAATACACCTAGTTTCATTTTACAAACATGGTTTGAGTTTCAGTTGCAATGCAAAAAACTTTATTTTGAAATTGATGGTATAAATACATTAAAAATATTCCAGTTGCAGACGGATGCATTTTTAGTAGATTTAATGCATTTAATGTAATAAAATGCAAAATTTTTAATGTGAGAGTAGAATTCTCTTGTGTATTGTCACAATTTATTTTTTAAAAATTGAATGTTTAATTAAACAATTCAGCAATAAATGGAAAATTAGAAGAAAGACTTGGTAAAATAGTGCAATTTTTTACCTTTCTTGTTCTAGCTTTGCTAAGCTTAAAAGCACAAGCCAGACCGGTAGTTTACAGTATATGTTCTACAAAACACCAATGTGAACATTTATGGCATTCACTCTTATAAGACGGATGATTCCATAATAGATCAGATTTTTTTTCATTGTTTTATCTTTTTTTTCTATCTTTAGTTTTTAAATACCAGACTTTTTTTTTTTTTTTTTTTTTTTGGCTGTTCATCTCTTTAATTTTGCTCAATGCTTTTTTATGAAACATTATCAATTCATGCATTTCTCAAACATTTTTCATTCCAGCCACTTAAAATCTATACATAGTTGAGTATATCTTAGATTCATTAAGTAATTTAGAATGCAGAAAATATGCAGACTGTGAAAGTAGCCCCATGTTATATAAATTCTGCATTCAGCTATCAGTTTTTATATTGATCTTTGGATTAATCAAAATTAAGATGAATTTGCATGTGAAATACAAAATCATTATTCAAGGTGTTTAGATAGGATGAATGTCTAGCAGCTATAAATAAATAATATGTGATGGGGCAGAAAGAAATTTTTTCAGGCATATATCATTGGGAAACTTGATCAAGTATTTTGACTCAAAGACAAGAGAATAATCACTGAGGATGATGTAACAATTCCAACTGCATTATTTTCCTAACGGAATCAGTATCTGAATAGAGCTGCTAAAACAAGTCTCTTTTTCTGCAAACTCCATGTGGGCAAGCCATTCAACTGAATATTTCCTGAGGCTTATTGCTCTTTAGTACTGGACACTAATTCTTACCTCAGTTTGACTATGTGTAAATATTTCAAAGGTCTGACATCAATCATTTTGCTTTACAGGCAGATGAATAAGGGTACAGTTTCAACTGTGGGATGTGACAACATGGTAGAATGCATTATCCAAATACCCTATCAGTTAAAAGTTATTTTAATAGTTTTTTCCTTTTATTTTTAGAGTTATTTCCATAAAGAATTATCATCCGAAGATAAGAATTATCACTCAGATGTTGCAGTACCACAATAAGGTAATGTAATGGCCACTGTTTCTTCTCAGAGTTTTTTGCTACATTGCATTCACTCATAATTTTTCTAGTTCCAGTAACAGCAAGCATTTTTCTTTCCAAACTAAAACATCTTAATAAACCTTGTCATGTAATCCAGTTCCAAAGTAATTTATATATAGTAGTATATATGCAAGGGATTTTATCAAAATCTTGGCATTTATTAGTTGCCTAGGATCTAATTCTCAAAGCTACAGTGTCCATAGTTGTTATTGATGCCAGATTAACTTTCACCACTTCATTTCTGTAAGTTCTGCTCTTAGTGTTTTAGTGGAGATAATTGTGATTTTTTGATTCTGGTGCGACCATGTAGACCTGAAATTGCCAAGCAGTAGGTACAAAGGTACAAAATAGATAAATTTATGTGATTTTTAATCTAAAACATAACCTAGTTGTGGGTACTGAGAATATTGTGAAGCTCAAAATTACAAATCCACTTTGGAAAGGTATTTGAAAAAGTTTTTTATGGTATATTTGTGACCCTTAAACACAATGAAGTCAATTTATTCAATCCTGAGATGAAGAAGTCCATAAAGTGCTGACTAACAAGGTTAGGAAGGGTATATCAGATAACACAGTACTCATGTGGCCTGCTTCTTTTATTAGCTCTGAAAGGATCAACCACTGCCCAGTGTTTGAGAAAAGGCTTGACTGGGTATACCTTCCTTTGATGAAATACACAATAAATTTGGTAGTAGGAAGGTTTGATAACATCTCCTTATACCTGTAACCTGTTGCTAGAGCAAGAGCAACTACTGTTGCTTATTATGTCCTCTTCCTGTATATTATGGAGGAAGCCTGTCTTTTTATAGAATAAAAACTTTAAAACTTTGCTTTAATGAGCCACAGAGGGGAAGGTTGTTTTTTTAAATACTGCAGGTTTTTTTTCTATTCTAATTGTGATGTCTTCAAGAATAACTTTTATCAAAGTGCTGAACTGTGGAATCAACTTAGGAAGGGAAACAAGGAGGAAAGACTCTGTGCTTCCATGTATCCACACTAACTATAAAAGTTACATGTCAGAGAAAATCCAACAGTTATGCCAGTAATGGAATGACATTTGTACTTAGCTAAGTTATCAAATTCAATACTGCAGATGTGTTTTGCTCAGTTATTTTCTTCGTTGTCTCCTTATAAATAGCATTCTTAGAAAAAAAAAGGTTTTTTTTTTCACTGTCAAGTACCATTCTTCAGGGTGGAAGAAATGAAATAGAAAAGAGAGAAGATGTATACATTTTTCAATTCTAGTATCCTTTAAAGGTTGCAGCTTCACATAAATTGTAATCTAAGTTGTATTAACTTCTTGTATATTATGTGTCTTTCTCATCAGTCAGACAGTAGCTTAAAGTGCTGTAAAAGGAACATCCAGAAGGGAAGGAAAGCTTTACAATATTCTTCTAGTTCAGGTGTGAGGATAGACCTGACAGAGTGCCACAGCCAGCATGTCTTGAGAAATGTAGCATTTTATCAGTAGAAAGTAAGAGTGGAACATTTCTCTGCATAGAATTAAGCTCTGAAACACTTGAAGTGCTTCTGCCTACTCAGAAAAAGTCAAGGTATTAATAGAGAAAATCATTCAGTGCTATCTTCTGTTTCTGGTTCTTCACCAGTGGGATATGTTATTTGTTTGTTTTCCAGGCCCATCTACTAAATATCCCAAGCTGGAACTGGAAAGAAGGGGATGATGCAATCTGTCTTGCTGAGCTGAAGCTGGGTTTCATAGCCCAGAGCTGCCTGGCACCGGGCCTTTCAACAATGTTAGCCAACCTCTTCTCTATGAGGTCATTCATAAAGGTAATGCCTTTCTCATTAGAACATATTAGTCTGCAATTCAGGTTGTCTGAGACTGGAGTAGAGAACGACTCAAATGTGAAACAGAAAAACAGAAAGACATTAACAGATCTTGTAACATGAAAAAAAAACCAGCACACACTTCCATGCCAATTGAATTGCCCAATTGAATTGGCAATATTTTTTTTAATTGAATTGTCCAATATTTTTGCCGAAAATTGGGCAACAAGCCAGGTTTTATCAGCTTGTGGGGTTTTGTTTTGGTTTGGTTTTTTTTTTTTTTTTAATTTTTATTCAGCAACTATCTGGCCTTTAAAATATTTTCCAAATCATCATCCATTTCCAGGGAGATATTTCTGGCATTTTGTGTTTTTGCTTGATTTTAGACAAAGAGCGTGTTTGTCTATTAGAAAAGTTGCTGCTGCTTAAAAAAACAAAAAGATTTCTCAAAGTCTCATGCAGCAACAAAGTGCCAAGAAAAAAGGACTGGTTATTTTCATCTTTTACATGAAGAAACTTGCGGACCTCTGACTATGAGTAAATAAGAAACATGTCTTAAGAACTGAGGCTCAAACTTCCCACAACATCATTCATGTATTTGTTTCCCTTCAGTCTAAGAGCTCTTTTGGACTTAGCCTGCAAATTTGTAACCCACTTAGACTTCTGTGGCAGCTGTACTGGTTCACTGGACTAAGGCCTCGATTGCAGCAATCATTGCATCCTTCCTGGTGCATTTCAGGGACACTGATTCCAAACATAAAGGGTGGAAAGTTTCCAGTCTCACAAGTGTTCTTAATGGGATGGGAAACACTGGAGTGAAAGGTAGGCCATGGTCCACTTAAGTCCATTGTGCAAGTAAGCTAAAAATAAAAATATCCTCATATCCTCAGATGAGAAAGCCAGGACAGTTCTCTTAGAGGTGCATATGTTGGTGCAGGACAGTGAGTCTTTATTTGCTTCTTATAAAGTCCTGACATTGTTATTAAGGTATTTTTAGAAGACAGCAGGCTCCCATGAAAAATATTTCATACTATTGCATTTAATCAAAAAAGGCCAGTTTTATTCATGTTCTGGAAAAACCCCCAACTAAAAGAAACAAAAAAATAAAGTTCTACTTCAGCAACCTGGAATCTATCTGTGACTCCTCAGCATGTGGCCAATTGGAAATTAATCCTTTCTACCTATTATATCCCAGAAGAAAACTGTATCTCTTGTGAACATCTCCTTGCCAGTCACTTTGGTCTCTCTCACTCCTGCCTGCGGTGGTAACCCAAAACTCTCAGGAGTGTCAAACATTTGTGACAGTCACACTAATGTATACAAATTACTGAGGCAGACTGTTGCATAAACTTGGTCTTGGCATCACAGTACATGTGAAAATTTTGCTCATCTTCTGTCTTTCCAAAATCAGAAAGAAGTCAGTTTTCTCCTAAGGAGGTCCAAATATATGAGTATCCTCAGAATTCTCAGTCCTAATTCAGGCTATTTTAATACTCATTTTAAACAGTGAGAAAGTGGAGAGATTCACAAAATTATAGAGGGTACAAATATCTGACTCTGGGGGAGCTGTACGAGAAATACACACATTTATTGTCTGGATTTTTATCTAAAAACATTTAAAGTCAAAATATGGATATGTACAGGTACCATGTTTCCATAAGTTATATCTAACCACTTCTGCCATTATCTTAGCCAGCTATATTTTCTTATTTTATAATACATTTTTATAATAATTCAGTACAGTTGCAGATTAGATCTCATTGATGAACAGTTTTAAGCTGAAGGCTAAGCTTTGCGAGGCTTTACTCAAATTACATCTGAGTATTTCTCTGTACAGAGAAATAAGCATAAAAACAACAATGAATTTGATTTTGGGGAAGCTGTCATTGTCAGTTTTGCTCTTGTGTCTGATTTTATACAGTTATAAACAGAGTACTGTGCAGACATACCTTAACTTGTGTGACTTCAAATGTCACCTTCACATGGCACTGTTAGGAAAAAACGCCGTAAGAGATTGCATTAAGATTGCAATACACTGTTAATACTGGTTAAAAATGTGTTTTCCACATAATTAAGAGTGAATTTTCTAGGCAAGTAAAATGCACATCTTCACTTCTAAAGATCTCTGTCTAATTCAAAATCTGGAGCCAAATAAAAGGACAAGAATTGAGACACATTTCTTTATGCGACTCTAACCCTAGTGGTGATAATAAAACATTTGTTTATTTAGCTGAAAGGATGATCTTTCTCATATCTGTCTCACTCTAAAAACTTGAAAAAGGAAATTTACTGCATAGTGTCTGTGAATCATCAGTGCATTGTAGGAGAGCAGCTACATTGATTAGAAATGCTGAAGGAGGGCTCTATTGAAGAGAAATATGTCCATTCCCTAAAATAACTTTCACCCCTTTTCATTAAGAACATTCAATTTAAGTACTGTCAGACCTTCACAAATTTCTTAGGTAAACATTTTTAGTGGAGTCTCTCACCAGTTAGGAGATTGCCAGGAAAATGTATGGAAACGTCTGTATTTTTTAATGAAAGCTTGAAATGTGGGTTTATTCCACCTCCGTAGCGTGATTAGAAAGTGATTTAATGTGCCATAAACGTTTGGTCAGTCAAACACAAATGAACATGATTGATGGTGACATTGCACACATTTAACTCATTATGCATGACTTTACAGCAAAATTATTTGTGTAAACAGTCTGCTCAGTGTTAGAAGTAAAACAAACTAAGAAACCTCAAAATATTATATTTGTTCCTAATAGTTTCCTTTTGGTTTTAGCAATGTAATATCATATGGAACCCTTTATATTCTTTTTGGCACCAAACTGAACAAAAAGGAAATCAACTCAAAAAGATTAATGTTCTGTAAACAGTAAAAGACAGATAGATTGCACCAAACTATATGCTAAGGGAAAAAACCCCACAAATCTTTATACCTGTAAACTGTATTTTAATAATCCAGTCTTCTTATAACATAGACTGTTACTTTTGTATTACAAAAGGAATTTATACTCTTTATTAACGTGCACAGTCTGAGAAAAATATGGAAGTACTGTACTGCAAGTCCTGTATTGTTTGAATTAGCAAGTGCATACCAGAAGTCTGTCTATATGAAAAACATTGCAAAAAGCAGATATGTGGAATAAGAGGCAGAAGTGATTAAATTTTGTACAGGCCAATCTACAACCTACAAGCCAAGTTAGTATTGTGTAAATTAATGAAATGTGGAATGTGGTACTCGAGTGTAACACAAGTCCACAGCCAAATTAGTTTTGTCTTTGCTCTATAGGTAAGACAGCCTAGACACCTCATTCCAGATATGAAAATTATCTGGAGCTGTCTCTATTATACTCTAAGCTATTTTGAGAGCAGGACTGTTTTGTGGGCTCTTTCAGAAGCTTTTGCTCACACCTACACATATGCAATGCCCACTTTACATTCCTTTCTAGTCTCAGCTGACAGAGAGACATAATAAAGCCACACAGATTTGCATCAGTTGGGTGCTTACCTACACTGATGGAACACTTCAACTTGTATGCTCTTTATTTTTGACCACCTAGGCAGCCTAGGAATGCTTCAAAGTGTATAACTGGAGAATGAACAGTGAATTCCTTGACATGTAGGAGGGCTTTAAGGGGGGAGTGAGAAGGAAACGAAATGTTTCAATTTATTGCGAGGTTCTTGAAGAAGCTGCATAATAAACTGATTACATGATCCTATTCACAGGACCTAGATAAAATATTAAATGTAGCCTGTTACCAAATACATTTATCTTCAAAGATCAAGTAAAGATCTTCCTGTCTGTAGTGTTTTTAAATCACTGATTCTAGGAATTAAAACCTTTTGTGGTTTAAAACTGTTTGCTGTGTATACATAGTATCAGTCCTTGTGATAAGAGTGTGTTTGTCTTGGGCTAAAGTCTGCCATGGAACTGTATTTTCAGTCAATCATTTGAACAGATCAACACCAGTCTATCCTTTGCCTCATGACTGGATAGAAATTTTGCCCTGTTTTGTATTTTTGAAACTATTAGAAGTAGAGACTGTATCCCTTTCAGTTCAAATCCAACAAGGTCAGAATCTAAAAAATAATTAGATGTCATTATATTTCAAGGATACTCTCTCTGCCTTGACCCACTACAAAATTCTACATGGGGAAAACTGCATAAATCTCATTTGAAATTGAATTTATCTGAATCAGCATATTTGATGTTTTATCAAGTATAGTCTTTTTATACAAATTTTAAAAATAATCCTTGCATACAGAAAGCTGTGGAAATAGTTGACTGAGATTGTCAAGTCTTCATAGTACAAAGGATATTTGTTAGCTTTGGTTTCAACAGACAATGGAATTGAGTAGAGAAGTAGTTGATAATTTATAATAATTAAGGAAATGCAATTATAAGACTGTAAATCTAAGAAGCTTCGCTCTATGATATGACCATAAGAACTGCTTTCAGCCAATTACTTTTCTGTCAGATCCATATACAAAGGCATAAAAAAGCTAGACATTCACTCAAGTGGTTTGGGTGGATATTGTAGGTGAATGGGAGAAAATATTTTAGCAATACTGCTTTCACTGTACACATCCTTTTCAACTACTAATCAAGAATATTCAAAGTCATATAGATTTAGGACAAGGAGTTATAGCTTTAAACTGGCAGAAGGCAGGATTGGATAATAGTATTAGGATGAAAGTTTACTGTGAGAGTGGTGAGGCACTGGAACTGGTTGCCCATAGAAGTTGTGGTTGCCTCATACCTGGGAGTGTCCAAAACCAGTTGGATGGGTCTGAACAGCTTGGTCTCATGGAAAGGGTCCCTGCCTACAGCAGGGAGGGTGGAATGAGGCTGTCTTTAAGGTCCCTTCCAACCCAAACCATTCTATGGTTCTGTGGGTACTTTTCCTTCTCATCTATATTGTTTGAGATAGAAAATTAGAATATTAAACAACCTCAAAGGCTTTGTCCTGTTTTGTGCCCTTTCTATGGTGGTGATGAGCTGATCTTATTCACTGCTAAGGAGCAGACTTTACATCTGCTTTCACTGTGCTATAAAGGAATTGTATATCCACCATCCTTTGCCTTGCAAAATGAAATGAAAATAAAATGAAAAATCCTAGGTCACAATGCAACTCTAGCATTTGTTCTCTATCTGGATAGTGATACTTGGATCTTGGCAGAAGAGATTATATAGCATGATCAGATTCAGATACACTCAATCTCTTTCATGTAACTATGTCATTACACTGAAAAGCAAATGCCATGAGCAAGATAGTTCTTTTGGAGCTACAGAATTCCTGATAATTACACTGCTGGGTGTATCTACTTCTGACAATGCTGATGGCTCTACTTGCAAAAGCTACGTCACTTTTTCATATTTCTGTCACCATGTCTCACTATAAATTGATTGTATTATGTAAATATATTTGCTGGTAACAATATTGTATCTATATATAAAATAGAGGAGAGGAGAGGAGTATCATGATTTGAAAAAAGATTCAGATGAAAATTACATTTCTTCTCTTGGGTTGCACTATGTAATTTTCCAGCTATTCTTCATACAGGCTATTGAAGTAGTGGCTAATTCATTTTATGACTATCAGGAGACAGAATTGCAGTGTGACTTAGGGCCTGAGATAATAATGTTTGCAGTACTAGAGAGGAATCAGAAGATCCAGATTGAAGTTGTTTTGGTAGTATGGCCCATTCTGGATCGGTTCCATCAGTTACCTAAACTTGAAAATATCATCATAAAGGCTTAAAGTACTGAAGAGCATAATGACTTCTAAATTATTTTTCTTCACAAAAGATACCAGGCAGGTGACCATCTGTCTTTTTGAAATCACTGGGAAAATGTCATGGTTCAGAAAAAAACAGAAAGATCATGTGTAGTTGACTGTTAACAATCATCTTATAATAATATTTTAGAGCATCCCAAATATCAGCAATTCATTAAATTCTATAATCAACATTTTGTGGTATCCTAACAGATCATGTACTAAACACTTCAGTCACCTAATGAAGTTTAATGTAACACTAACTGGTATCTATGGTGCTTGATCATTGCTTTGGGAATGTTTGGTTTTTTCCTTTCTCAGTCATTGACTAAGGGTGAATATTTAATTATAGGCTGATCCGGAGTTCTTTCCTCCAAATCAAAACCATCTGCCTAAAGAAAAGAAAGCAAGGGAAGAAAGTAGAAAGGGAGATATGTAATGTATTTGTATATTTTTTTCCAACCCCAGGTGGTGTCAATGTAAGAAAAAGCCACAAAATAGACCAAAAGTTACAAACATGCCTTTGCTATAATTACTCTTAGTTTTTTACCAAGCCTGCACTTTATCTCTCTTCTGTATATAGAGTTGCTGATCAGCAACATTTGCAAGCTTCCTATAAATAAAAGGGTCATAAAAAATGTGATATGGCTTCTCTGTGTGTGGTGGGGAATAACACAATGCAAATCCTTTTTACCATCCCACATGGCCTCTGAATGGTGAAACAATTACTGTGGAAGAAATTTCTTCTGATTGTTTGCAGCCCACTTGTCAGGCTGTATATGATTTGGAACATCTCCATATTGCAATTTATTCTTTCAGTCATTTACATCTCCAGAACTAAAGTAACATTATTGGCAGCGTGTCAACAAGGGAATAAAACAAAAACAACAAAAAAACCCAACCAAAACCCAAAACAAACAAACAAGGCAAAACACAAACAAATAAAAACCCCTAAACCTCACAAAAACAAAAACAAAACCAAAGAAAACAAAAAACAAGAGGAAAAATAATTTTAACTTGCATTTCATCAGGTTTCTTAACAAGTTTCCATCCTTCTGTTCTTTGGAACATTTTTTTGAAAGAGTGCTTTTTAGCTTGTTTAACATGAGAAAATGATTGGTGAATCCCAAATTAATAATAAGCCTGTGGAATAAAAATGCTAACTTATCTAAAATACTATATGAAGTCCTGTCAAAATAACTCTGGAATACTAAAATTTGAAATCCTGAGAGTTTTTGGTCTAGTGAGGGCTGTCCTTCCCATGGCAGGAAGGTGATCTTTAAGGTCCTTTCCAACCCTTACCATTCTGTGATTCTACTGTTTTAAAAAGAGAAAATTGGGAAAGTCTTTTCCTCACGCTCTTTACAACTTTGTTTCACCTCATGCTCAGTGTGCTTGACAAGAATTCGGTGTATTATTTTTGCGTATGATACTTGATTTACTTACTACAGGGACTCTGTTTTGGGTTTTTTTCCTCAACATTCTAGAAAATCTTGTACAAATAAGTGATGTTAATTGCCATAAAAATATACTGACTTATGTGTTAAAATCTGATTCATGTATAAGAAGTTGTTTTTAAATTCCAAAGAAAGGTCTGATTTTTACTCAGAACTCTGCATCTGTTTCTTTGGTTTTAGATTGAGGAGGATACATGGCAGAAATACTACCTGGAAGGAGTTGCAAATGAAATGTATACAGAATATCTGTCTAGTGCCTTTGTGGGTTTGTCCTTCCCTGCAGTTTGTGAGTAAGTAGAAATACATTTAATATACAGAAATATTTACCTTCGTGTAAGAGAAATCTAATTTTTTTGCATGAGACATTTTCACTCTGCTAAAGTCCTAATGTTGCTCCCTCAGATGGTGTCTCATAAAATAAACATTAAAGCAGTCACTGCATGGAAGCACCTGAAACATTGTAATGACTGGTTTCAGGGGTGATTTGTAATTAAATAATTGTAAATGAAAGCATAAATGTTTTTGGTCTTAAACAAACTCATCAGCAATACTTAAATTGAGTTATTTACTCACAAGCACTATTCTGTTATTTTTCTAATGTTTCCCAATCTTTGAATAGTAGTGGTCAACATGACCATCTTGGCTTGTGTTCCATTCCAAGGAATCTATTCATGAATTTAAACAGATGTCGTGGAGTCATGTAAGCAGTGTGGCACCCAGAGCTCTGTGGAAAAGGTTTCAAACCACTTACAGCAAGTAAAATATGTCAGAGAAAAGATATGTCTGTTTTGTTATGAGAAAGAAGCATATAGTACATAACCATAGTGTAAGCCATGTGACAACTTCATTTCTGGAGACTGAAAAATGCTTAGCCTAGAATGAGTCTGTGAAGGAGAGATTTGTATGCATAAGGTTTGTATAATGAGTACTCTGTCCATATTATCAGGTTAGTTAGCACACTCATATTTCCTCCTGGCTTGGCTTTGCTCTTCATTCCAGCCGTACTGGCTGTGGACAGCTGTACACTGGCTGTGGACACGGTTTGCTAGGGACTGTGCAAATGCTTAAAAAGAAACAGACCTTGCTTGGATGAGCTTGGTGTCAAACTAGTTAACATAGAAAAACTTCTGAAGACTCCATTCTTAGAGGAGGAAATAGATGGAGAAGTAAAATACAATCTCTTATATAAAGGAGTACGAGCATTCTTCTACTCCTCTAACTTCCCCACCTTTCCCAATTTTACAGGAGCAAAAACATGACATTAGAATGAGGGAGAAGCAGCTTGTTAGACAAATATTATCCATTTAGAAGCTGTCTAGGGTGTAGCTATGACAGAGCCGTCTTCAACTTGCTGGTAAAGTTAAGGGGTTCTCAATCCATCAATCCTGTGTCAGCCAAACTGTTGAGTTTACTGAGAGGAAATGTTTTTTACTATAGGGACAAAAGTTTGTGTGGATTTCTCAAAACAGGAAATCTCATAACATATTTCAGAAAAGTATATGATATTCAGAATGAATGGTAGTTTGTGCTGTTAATACTAGCTACAGTAATGAAAATTAAATCTCCACACCAAACCATTTTCAAATGTGTCAAGTTTCTGTATGAGTTTGTTGGAAGATGTGACAGAGACGGTATTTGACATAAAGCTGACATTCATTTATCTGGGCTGGTAGAATGGAGATAAAATAATCAATAAAGAAAGGGTGCTTATTGAGATTTAGAAACATGTCTAAACTTTGGAGCTCTCCTCAAGCACTTTAATTAATGAGTTTAGTGCATAGGTATTCTCACTACTGTAAGACTTGACTGCTCGATTTCCAGAAGAACCAAAGGACAAGGACAGCAAAATGTCCATTGCATTGGTTTGTGAAGGGGAAATTGAATTAGTGGATAGTCTAGTGTATTCAGCCAACTGTGAAACATACAGAATTTGAGAACAGGTTTTGTAGTGTAACTTTTAAAATTCATGCAGTCAATGACATTTTAAAAGTCTGATATTAAAGGAAATCTGCTTCCTCAGGTTATTTGTGATAAATTCAAGTCTAGGAGTGTGATTCTTTTGTAAATAAGCTACCATACAGTCTGGATAACAAAGAGTGTGCAGAGACAGTGATGATGGGGCACTCAGTATTGCTAAGTATTTCAAGCTTTTGATGTCAACACTAGGGTGAAGAATTAGGCAGAAACAGAAGTTAATATCAGTCTGCAAGTTCTGTTTATAACTCCACATGTGTGTTCTGTGTGAACATATTCCAACCAGTATATTTTCAATATGTGAATGTAGTTCCTAACATTCTGTGCCCTTGGATATTGCTGGACCAGGTGTGGATGATGTTGATTGAAGATAAGCTAACCAAGCTGTCTCACATAGATCAGAGCCTTCTAATATTTAGTAACGTAAGGCTAACCTACAGCCAGGTTCTCGGCCTACCACTCTCTACCCCAAAATTTTCCCAATGATGCCAGAATATCTCAGCATTGACACTCGACCTAGCAGTGGGAGCAGCCACTGTCCATGTGTGATGTTGGTTGTGAAAGGGAACTGACTCGTGGCCTCTTCTCTTCCTGCAGGCTGGTGTTCGCGAAGCTGAAGCTCTTAATGATAGCCATAGAATACAAGTCGGAGAAACGCGAAAGCAGGTGCGTGTGTGCCACCCACTTTGGAAGTTCTCCAATGCACTGTCAAGAATTTTGCCTGCTTTTTTTTTTTTTCAGAATGAGCATAGCTATTCTTTGAAACATTTCAGAATGTAATTAGCATGCCATCGCATTGCAGCATTTCACATAGGACTGAAAAGGACTGATTTCTGCCATTTTCCTTCCTAAAATTAACCCAAGTCAGAGTGTTTAGTAAAACGTGCAGTAGTGCATATGGCTCATCTCCGGGAGTGATTTTACTTATGGAAAAGCTTACAATTTTTGTGTTTATAGCATATCACTTTTAATCAGAGATCCATTACACTATTGAAAACAGAAGTGATATCAAAATTCATTATGGCTATGTGTATTTTCAAAATAAAAATTTCATTTAAATTAGTTTGGGAGAACCAATTTAGATATGGAAAAGATTAATTTAGCCTTGAAATTCCCAATTTGCTAGTTACTTTCATCAACCGAAAAGAAAAAAAAAAATCATTATTTTTAGTACAGATTCACAGATTGGAAGTGTTTCTTGCATTTTTGGTTTTGTGCAAAGGTTCATAGAAACATGATTGAACATTGGAGTCACTCTTCCATCAACTTGTCCATTAGTGCTTTAAACAATATTCATTTTTATGTAAAAAAAAGTTATAAATGTTCTCTGCAACATGTGAAGGGTCATATAATAAAAATATGACAATACTGACACTGAGAGAAATTTGATTTTCCTCTTTCAAAATTACATTTTGTACTGCTGTGGTAAACCTGAAGTGATACATACTAGTTCATCTTCTTTTTGGCCACTAATTATCTTTTTGTGGCCAAAGGGCACTTTTGAGGACAATAGCTTCTTCTCACAGGGGAACCAATTCTATCAATTGAACTCATTCTACATTTTATGGGGTTTTGAAAGTTTAATAGTATTAAATTTCATACTTTTTCTTTATTAAAAGAATCTAAAAAACCTGTGTTAGACATTTGACATAGAAAAAGCAGTGTTACGAGTATTTATGAGTATTTCCATGCCCTGTAGTTGAATTTGCTGGATTCTTCCATATGTTTTAAAATGAAATGTGAAGTGGTACTATGAAGCAGTATGTACTATTGGATACCATTTTTGTTCACACTGTGCTGATAAAGAAATCCTTTTTTTTTTACTATCAGATTTTTTATGCTGTATTTAGCTACTTTGTACTCTTAAATTACTTTTCCATTGAAAGACCTCATTCTGCATTAGCTAATGTAAAGTGAACAGTCTATTCTTCTGTCTATGAACAATTTAATCTCTTGCTAGAAAAAGGAAAAAATACTATAGTAGCAGCAGTGGAACAATTTACCAGATTTTGGTCTTCAGTGTTAATAAATATTTGGTTTCTGTTTCTCTCCTAACAATTATTGGCCAAATTTATATTGCCATTACTTCAGTTGTCATGTACTTACATAAGTGCTAATATTGCAGTCTTTTGAAGTAATAACAGATTTTTGTTGGATTCCATATCATTCTTTGCATTAACTTCAGTGGGAGTTGGATTGAGTTCTTAATCAAAAGGTGATGCAGACGATCCCACAAAAAGTAAAACAGTGTGATACAATCATATATGTCTTACTTAAAGCCATAGACGTAATAGTTTCAAATAATTATTATAGTAGGGAAAAAAAGAGCCTAAAATTGCTAGACTAACAAAGGGTTATTAACAGCTGCCTTTGTTGAATATGTATGTAGCAAGAGGAGGGCATATAGGGTAGATAGTCATATTTTCTCATAACCCTGATCCACAGTAATATCTGCTGATTTTATTAACCAGTGATAATTTTATAGTCACTGTTTGATCAACCACAGAGCTACCTGCAGCATATCTTTACTGTTCTACTTGTTCCTGTGCTCTTCAAGTCAAATATGTTAACTAGATATTTGTGGTTTTCTGATCCTTTAGTCAAATCAGAAGGCTAATGCAACAAAACTTCTGTTTCTCACTTCCTAAATATACTTGCATTTCCATGCATCTTATTAAATAAAAAGGTGCAGAATTAAAATAAAAGTTAGAAAAACATCATTTAGAAGCACAAGTTCTTTTTGAGAAATGTCAATTTGTCATGTGTCAATTATATTTGCTGATGCTGACATTGAAAATATTTTATTCTGCTCATATCCAAATTTCTTCCTGGCAATTCTTCATAAAGATGAAGTGAGAAATTACTATGGATATTTTTCAATATAATGAGAGTGACGAAAAGTAGATACATGGCGATTTATTTTATAATTATACTTTGCATTCATGTTCTGTAGAACTATTATGGAAGAAGTTTTGTATAATTTAAAATTTAGAGAAACAATGTTAAATATAACTAAACATTTAAAACATTATGTAGATGGCACCTTTCATTAAGATCTGGTACTTCCTGCCATTGCTGCGACAGGTCTCAAATCGGTATTTTAAAAAGCAGATGAAATTTTCGAAGCATTCTTTCTTAAAGGATGAGAAGATCTTACTTCCAACTGTTTAATTTTTGTTACTAGTCATAAAATGTCTATATCATTAAATTATATGTTGGATTTGTTACTTACACAGGGAGTTTCTGTTAAGATTAGTTTCATTTGCCTTTGCACTCAGAGCTAAAGCAGTGAATAAGATTCAGGAGTGTATGCAGCTCTAAACAGTAGTAACGTAAGGGTATTCCAAATTTCCTAAGCCCCTCTTTAAATTTTCAAGTCAGTCGTAAGGATAAATTGAATGGCAGACTTTTATTTGACTGCTAATATCTTCATTAGATGTAGAATGGCATAAATACTAATTTACCTCTGTTTTTTTGGTTTGTTTTTTTTTTTTTGTCCAGGCAGCCTCCTGGATTCTAGTTTTCTAAATCTTTCTGATTTACAGTTGAATTCTGTTAACTCTACTGTAGGGAATTTGAAATCAATAGTAATTAAAAATTATCAGAACTCTATCCAAGCCAATATTACTGTAGATCTTAGTGGCAGCTGAGCTTCCTGCCTGCAGATATTTTTTTTCTTCTTTTTTCCTGACTACTAATAAAACTACACAAAACAGAAAGCATGCCTTGATAACAAGTTTTGTCAGTTTAGGTAGGTAATTAATTACAATTATTATTTTACAGCATTGCTTAAAAGCTGATATTCAAGCCTAAATATAAGTAATATAGTTATAAATATGATAAATGCATATTAGTTTTCATATCATGGATAGAGTATGTAGAGTATGTTTATTGTTTTACACAACTGCTTTTCATCAAGGTATCTTAAAGATTCATTAAGAAACCCCATGATTAGATTTCTTTTAACCTTTGCATTTATATATTTGATAAGATTTAAATTATTTCTCAGCTATCAAAGAAATCTCTGAATTTACAAAATTCAATTTAGAGTGTTTCTGACAAGCTACTAAAGTTTGCACTCTAGTAACTCCAGCTCATGATATGAGTTAACCATTCCTTCATCTCTAATTGCTTTCTGGGAATATTATAACCCATGATTAAGAACAGGAAGCGCTTAAATTATTTTTTGTTTCCCTGGTACAAGCCAAATACTATCACTTAAATAATGCTCTTAGCTTATTTGGAGAGGTTTTGCTTTTTTTGTAGAAAAATGCAAAGGAAACATGGAGAACATGAACCTGAAAATATCCCACTGTTAAATATACAGCAAAAAATAACAGTTCAAAATTCAGATACTCAAACTCCTCATCTGAAATCCCTTTTAGAGAGATTTCTGCCTTCCTTTACCCCCTGTATTTTTATTCTACATAACTAAGCAAGAAGGAAAGCCTAACCAGGATTCTTCCCTCCTGCTCCCCATTTATACTCTGCTTGTATAATTATCTCTTTGTCTATCCATATATTTGTTCTCATTCGCAGCAGAAAAACCTTTAAGCCTTGAGGACTTTTAAATAAAGGGTTTTTTTGCTTTTGCTTTGGTGTCAGTTGATTTCTTATCAAAGTGTTTGATTTGCAATTTTTTTCTTGTCGTTTGCAGAAGCCGAAAGCGGTATGCCCTCTTCGTTACCTTTCCTTCCAACCTCAATCCTACCTTCACTCCTTCTAACTTCAGGACTAATTCCTTGCCAAGAACACAGGAAGATAACATCTTTGTCTATCTTTCTCTCTATATACACACACATATATACCTATATATATTCATCTACCTATGTGTGTGTGTGTGTATATATCTGTGTATATATTTATATATGAGCCCCCAGTCTCAAAGAGGAGACAGAGAACAGCATTTTGTCTCTCCAGTATTTCTTGTGACTCACGCACTAACTTCTTTGCAGGAAGTACAAAATAGAACAGGATTCGCTTTTTAGGCTTTTTCCCCCTTTGTGGAGTCATTGGTGTATCAGATTGTTGCATTTGAAAAGTAGATTTTACTGTTAATATCTCCTGTCCTCATTTTGACTGTATCATGACGATGTATATTTCGTCTTTACCAGCCCTTGTGCTGCCATGTTGTTTTCATAGTCACACCTTCATTGATGTCCTTCTTTCCCCAGAGTCTTCCTTCAAATCACGTCTTAAAATACAGTAGTTCATGTTCTCTTGCAGTCTCATTTTCCATTAACAGCAACCAAATACCTGATTCTTTGCATTTCTGGTCCTGTTTTGAGTCCAGTTACTCATAATACAGTACTCATTAAAGTTTTTGTACTGTTCCAGTGAAAGTGCCATGGATAGTTTGTATTATATGTCACATTCATTTTAATGATATTTATTAACTCATTCATGAAGAAGTTACTGAATGTATTATTTTCTCAGCTCTGGAGTTTTTTTTTTGAGATGGCATGTTTTGCATTTTATTTGGTGTACCATGCTGTGAGTCCCTCTCTAGTCTACATTCTATCATGCTGCTATTGGTTTGGATGAAGTAAATAAGGCATGCTCTTCCATATCCTTGTCTCTCCTCATCTCTCTTCCCCCAACAGATTTTTTTTTTCCCTAATTGCTTATAGTAGTCTGTCTGACTGTCAGTGATGGTCTTTGGAGACCTGCTCTCATTGTCCAGACATTTCAATTTCCATCTTCATTGTACTGTTCAAACTCTATTTTCTGTGTCTGTTCTGTTGTGTATGTTGTATGTGTTACATGTATTTAAGTTTTAGTCTTATCTTCCTATAGTTTCTGAGTAGATGTGTGATAAGAGAGGTGGCTTCCTGTCAGTTTGGCATTATTGATATGATCCAACTGCAGAGAAGTTACTGCAACACTTAGCATCTCCAAGGATCTGCAGCTGTTGCACCTCTACTTTGCTTCTTGCTTTTAAGTATATCTTACTTTGTGGTGAAGGCATGTTAATGCTGGCATGATGAGCAGTATGAAGAAGTGTTGTACCAAGTGAAGTTGCTTGCTCCCAGAATAAAGTATATTGTTCTGCCTCATTGTACTGATAATTAATCACTTCTGGAACCAGAAGGAATAATTTAATTGTTTTCAAGTGTGTTGAGTTCACCATGACTATTGAACTAGTTTGGAGTATGCCCAAATAAAATACCTCATGTACATCCTGTAGACCATGGCTTAGGTGCTGTTGTAAAAAAATTAAGTCCTGGGAGCAACCTTTTATATGCTTGTAGTAATTAAGCTTCAATATACTGTAGCATGTAATGTGCACTGTGTCTTTTGCCTTGTATTCTTTTCAGTGTCTTACAAATTTGCTGTATAGAGCAATATGGAGCATTATAAATTAATGTCAGTGATAGAGCCCAGAAGAAAGAAGCAATAACTTATGAGTTACAATGAGTGTGAAAACTGGTATGTGCACAACTCCCACTATGAGATTTGTGCATTTACACTCACACTCTACTTCAAAACTTACACTGAAACAAAAAAATACTATTTCCAACTACTTTTATAGTTGGATGAATGACATGGTGTGTTTTAAAAGGCCATTATGCTAATAGTGGTATGTTTTATCTGGGCATAGCATGAAACAATCAAGAATAATAGCTGGTTTTGTTTAAAAGTTTGGTAGCTATAGTAAATAATACCACAGAATTTTGTTTTAGATAATGTATTCATAGTACTTAAACAATATTATATCTTCCTGATTACTAGATATTGCTACTGTTTGAGTTGCATGGGGAATGGTACAGTACATCTACCACAAGATTTAAAACAGAATTGTTACAGCTTTTGCCATTCATTAGTCAAAATGTTGGTGTTCGTGTTTCATTTATTTCAACAATTGGTCTTTCTTTTTCTTTAGAATAGGGTGATGGCAGTCCCACAGATACCCATACAGCTGAAAGCAAACAAACAAAAAAGAAGTAGGGTTACTAAATCAGATACGTTTCCTTGATCCAGGGGTGCGCTGTTCAATTGGTCTCTGATAATGGGTTTCATCACACCTGACTTTGTCAACCAAAATGTTAAATGCCTTTTCTCCTGTTAGTTATCCAGACATAGTCCATAATTGCAAGGGAAGAGAGAGTCAGTTCTTGAACGCATTAGAATTCAATCCTAAAATAGATGAGATGAATCCCACCTTCAATGCTGTCTAAAGTGTAGAGTTGAAAGTAAGATCAAACAGGAATAGTACCTAACAGAGGCATGGATAAGGAAAATCCTTTAAAAGACCTCTCCTGGTCTGTGTATCTATTGGTTGACTTTATCTGTGCTTTCAGTTTTTAGTCTTTGTGTAGTGCTGCTAAAGTGTCGTTAACCTTGCATATTTGCTGTGCTGTACTTGCTGGGCATCTCCACATGCCTTTGTCAGCTCAGTTTAAAGACTTTCACCACACTGTTCCATATTATTAAACTCTTTTGTTTTTCTCAGAGAAGGCTGACAGTTATGAAGATGACAGATCTGAGAGTCAGCCACTATACTACTATGTCTAGATTAATAGTTCAAAATCCCATCCATTCACAATTTCAGCAGTAGTGGAAGCCTCCTCAGTTTCAAGCTATGCAAAGCAAATTGTGGAGCCACTTAGCAAGTAGCCTACCAGTAAACACATACTGCATCATGATGATTCAGACTCTGACACTGACTGTTTTTTTTTTCCATATAGTTCTAGGTTTTTTTGCCTAGAAGATGGCTGAATATTCTAGAAAGCTACAGGAAACATTTTTCATGTCCTATTTAAATCATTTGTATGCTAATAAATTATTAGAAGTAAAGTTTTAAATATTCTTTTAATATGAAAAAGATATCAGCTTTCTATAACTTTGTAATAGTGCTTTAGATCAAGAAACATAATTTGAGTTAAATATGTGTGATATTTAAAAGCAGGAGACAAAAATCACCTCGCAGCAGAAATGAGTAAAAAATAAATAGATGGAACGAATTAGTCCTACCCCAAAGTGTCAATTCACAAATTATCTTACAGTTCAAGTCTCCAATTATTAGGCTCTGCATCAAGTATCTTTGCATTCAAAAAAACACAGAAGATACACAATTAGTAAAGGAAACCTTAGCTTACTTTTAGTTCTTTAAAAGAATATACAATATGGTATGCTTTAGCTAGGTCAGAATATTGGTATCTTGTGCATTCAGTCATCCATGCACTACCAAAAAAGGTATTGTGCAGCACTCATGTTCTGGAGTAGTTACAGGTAGATGAGAATGGATGAACAGATATTTTTATGAATCTGTATTTTATTGAAGGTAGCATATATACTTAAAACACCATAAAGAGACAATCCAAAGTACATTGAGCACAATTAACACAAAGTGAGAAACTTGAACTGATATCTATTCTCCCTGTCATATAAAAAAGTCATGTCCAATTTGAAATTTTAATTGAAAAATCTATGTAAAGAAAACCATAAACATCTGTCTAGAATTTATGTGACCTTGTTTGAACTTTTTTTTTTTTTTTTTTTTCCTGAAACTGTGTATCTCAAATGTGTAGTGATTTCCATTTTTGTTTCACCTGCTAATATTTCTGTCAGTCTGGGAACGCATTTTCAGCTGTGTAGATAATATTAATCATTCTTTCCTGTGCTTTAAGTGTTAAGTGTCAGATTGGATGGGGCTTTGAACAATCTGTTCTTGTGAAAATTATCCCTGACCATGATATGAGAGTTGGAATTAGGTGATTTTTCAAGTCTCTTTGAACATAAACCATTCTGTGATTCAGTCTGTGATTCCTAAGAGTCCAACTGAATTCAAGGGTGATTTCCACATTTTCAGTGTGGGACATTTTCATTGCTTTTAGGTTCATGGTCCTGCATCTAGTCACCAAGTGAATGTTCTTTAGCAAATGGGATAACTTTTGCAGATAAGTGTACAACACAGGTTTCCAGAGTGCATATTCTATTCCACAAGTGGCTTCCAATTGTAATATTGTCAAAAAAGAATGGAACTGACTTCTCCTAAGTTTATGGTGATGAAGTAAATTACATTCTCATTGAACACATTAAATTATATTTGATTTATATGGCTTTAATTGCCATGTGTCCTAAACATTCATATGTGAAGGAGCAATCATGTGAACCCTGTCACAAAAACGTTTTGTCCTGAGGGATGTACTTCTGGAATTGCAACTGTTAAAGAAATTTTTACTACTTGTTATTACTTGACTACTTTGTGAGAGAGCCTAAATTGAAATGTTATAAAATTACAAAGTTTGATCAAGATCTTACAAGTTTCTAAAGTTCTTGGCCTTCCTTGTTTGGTTTCATGAGCTGATTTAGGAGATAAAAAAATCAAATTCTGCTTTATGTTAAAAACGTGTTTGGAAAAATCAGTGTCATTTTCAGTAATATTTTTTCTGATGCGTGGCACAGAATGCATATGGATTAGCTATATATATTGCTATTAAACCTCTTGAGTTTGTCCTTTTTTCCCTTTTCCTTTGTAGCCTTGGAGATACATAAAAATGAGACATTAGCTGAAGCTGTCTCTTTTAAAACTCCTATCTAGTTTACCATGTATTTATATTCTTAACTGTGGGGATAGATATGGATATTTTGAAATTAAAAAAACACATGCATCTCTAAATAACTGATGGATGCATTTTTATTGGAATATTCAGAACACTGTTTTGTTTTTCTCTGTGCTGTTTGTTCCCTATATTCTGTTTTAATTCAAAACATTTCCCTTGCTGTATCTATTAGAGTGAGTGCTTATCAAAGCATAACTTCAGCTAACAACACTGCAGGTGTTATAAGAAATAATTCAGTTGCAGCTTTAATAAGCAGTATATTTAATATATCCATACAATTCAGTAGAAATTGCTCATGATTTTGCTCTGGTGTGTATGTAAGCCCAAAACTTCATGAGCTTTTTCTGTAACTCTTAGCCAGTAACAGTGATGGGGCAAATTAATTTTCATTTCCAACAGAAGATTTTGCTGCTGGGGTCATACTGCAACAACTGTGATCACATCTCTATTTTGTGGTTATAAATACATTGTATTTGTGAAAAGAGGTATATGTGAATGAAGTATAAGATCTGACAAAAATAAAGTCTGTACACTGACCCATGTGAATTGATTTAATGTGTCTCAGAAAACCTTGAGATACAAAATCATGCTCACAATACATTGCATCCTAAATGAAGCCAGTTACTTCCATTTAAGACTATGTTCCACACATCTCAAAAGAACTGCTTCATTTGTTTATTACTTCATCAAATTTTAAGTGTTGTTATGAGAAGTGAACATTTATAGATCTAGTGGTTACCTCAGTTTATGGAGTTTGAGTTGTTGGGGTTTGGGCAGGATTTTTTTTCCTCTTTGGTATGGTTTATCTATATCAAATAATTGTATTGGGGAAAAAAACCAGCCTGGGTCCATGAAAAGCAGTGTGTTCATCTTTTTTCACTGAAAAGCTGTAACACTTATGTGACTTAAGAATCAAATAAGAAAATTAAAAGTATTTTTCAGCTAGAACAGTACCCATTTGTACCTAAGAAAAACAGCCAACCCAAATTATCCTACAAGACTTTACATATTTTCTAAGGAACAGTATAATAAATATATGAGATTATCCTCTATAGAAGATTTTTTGAGTTTAGCAGCTAAATTCTCAGTGTAATGGCAGGTTACTATCTACTAGCAGGCAGGGAGGAGGAAAGATGGAGAGTGAGATGACCAGTACAGCACTCTGCAAGTGCTAGTAAGTACTTTGTGGGTTCAAGTGACGAAAGCTTGTGCAGGAAAGATAACTTTGCCAACCTGTTTTTGACCTGAGTAACTGATTTTATATGAAGAAATTCTTATGTAGTTGTTTCTTTTTATTTTTTCTTTTAACTGTTTTAGTCTATCTTAAACCTGTGAAAATGCATTTTAAAACTGCGTTAGGTAGTAGGTTTCATTGCAACTGCAGCCATTAGGCCCAGTTTACTAACTAAGAAGTACTAGATGTGACACTAGATGATAATAGTTGATGATGGATGATACTAGCTTAGCTGTGTAACTTTATTTCATCCCATTTATCTGTGTGTGTAATATAGGTGTTACTTACACCATCACATTTAATTTTTTGCAATTATTAGTAAAGTGTGCTGTGGAAATGAACCTGCTTTCTGTGGTGATACCTTCCAATTCCTGTAGTTCTACTCTCCTTTTTATTTGTTGCAAAGCTTGAAACTGTGAATAAGGGAAAGGGAAGGATATCTGGGTAGATGCTTTCTTTGAGATTTAATTTCTGTTCAAGCCTCTGACACAGGCTGTGTGAGAAGGAGATAATAATTTAAACCGAACCTTCTACAGCTGATCTCTGATTATGTATATTCATTATTTTGAGAATCAGAGGCTGGTCTATTGGAAATGCTGAGCATTCTTACAACAAAAGTTGCTAGAAAGTCTATATGGAGCTATCCAATGCTAAACATTGAGAAAAATTTGGCCTGTAGGCATCCCAAATTAATAAGTACCATATCTCATAGTTAATCTCTCCTCTGTAAAATGGGGTAATGCTATATCTTCATTCTTCCTGTCAGAGAAATTATGTGTCAGTGAATCTTTTGCTTGCTGTAGTGATGAACATTGCAGAAAACACACAAGAAAAATATGATGCTGATTTTAAAGAGAGATAAATTACAGGAAGCCATGCCTGAAGTAATGGCAGTAAAACACCACTGAATGAAGTTTCAGACTGTGAGAAGGAAGGAGTTTGTGGGTATTAAATTAAGAACTGTATCATACGGTCTACAAAAAGGAGGCTGAAATATGACTTCGTGACCAACTTTTTATTTCTGAACTCATGAGCACTTTATTTTGTGGCCTGCATATTCTTGTCATAGGGCGTTGCAGGCATGTGGAATTGCACAAAAAAATGTGCACATTATTTATCTTTCAGATATATTATGTTGTCATACTAATTTATTCCTAATGTGTAGAAAATGCATAACATACTGAATAAGAGATGTACTGAGATCCATTTTCCCTCTTATCAATAGCATGAAAGACTTTGGACCTTCAAATTTTAGTAATGTATGTCTGTTCAATATTGTGCTTTATTTATTTCTGCATATATGTACTTCCCTAAAATCAATTTTTGCTAGATGGACAAGTTTTTCGATTCGTGGTAGTCTTTGTTTACTCTAAATTGCATATGCACACCATTACTACATTTTGAGTTAGAAAAGCTGTACTTTAGTAAAAGACAAAAAAGAGAAAACTTTTGAAAAGCTATATTAAGAGAGCCAAAAGCTAAGATATATTACACATTAATAAAACTTACTGGAGAATATATTTATATTTATCTCTATCTGTATATTCATATTTAGCTTGGTGCTTTGCAAAATACCTTACCTAAAGTCTAGAGTTAAATTATTATGAAAATAAAGATATTTCATAGACATGGAGTACCTCACTTGTTGATACCAGTTCCTTTGTCAGAGTTAGCTGAGGCTCTTCTGTCATGGTGGTTGGGTTTTTTTTGTTCTTTCATGGCTGCATAGCAGTGTTTTAAAAATCTTCTATTCATCTTATGTTTTTTCAGCTATCGTGACTGGTTGTCTTGTACCATTCCCCTTGAGTGTATGTGTGTATTTATTATTTTAAACAATGACATTATATGTCCAGATAGGGGTCCCATTAACTTTCTATTTCACTAGAAATTGGCACAAATTTGCATCAAAGGGTTTAGTTTCTTAAGTGATATTTTTTTGTTGTTATTGAGTGGAAGTTGAGAGTTATTTCCTTTTCACCATATTGTGAATTTGTCACCACTTTGCATGACAGAGCAAGCAAACAGCAATGCTCAGCTTCACACTTCACATTTCTGAGGGGACTTCATGTAGTCTATATCTAAAGCAAAAAGATAAGAAAACAGATGTAAGCACTTAGATGATGTGATTATAGGCAGAGGCATTTGACTGTCTTAAACTAAAGTTTTTGTAGAAAGCATATGAAACTCTTACTTGATTGGAAATATCAAGGAAGAATGGCTTAAAATTTCCTTGCAGCCTTTCCTAAATAGTGGGTCCCCTATAACAGAATCAAATAAAGCTAATTTGGAGGATTCAGTTAAAATTAATATAAACTTATTGTTTTGTTGGTTTTGTTCTTGTTTCACTGAGCAGTATATTAATCAATCCTGGAAACCACGTCAAGATTCAAGAAGGTACCTTAGGATTCTTCATTGCAAGTGATGCCAAAGAAGTAAAAAGGTAATTAAAATGTTTTTATCTTTGAATAGAAATGAATATATTTAATTTCAGTTTTTTTCTTTACATGTAAATGCTTAATCTAATTTTCATTATTATCTGTTTAGAAATTCTGAGGGGGATGCTGAGTTGTTACTCCTGAATCACCTATATGCATGTAGTTTTCCTAACTGTTATCCTAAACATCAAGGAACTGAAATTTGGAGCAGATCTGAAATGAAATAAAGAGGCTGGGTTTTTGAGTCCTTCTAGAAAACTTGAAATATTTTCACTTGTTTTCTTTATACTTATTGTGTCTCAGAGGAATTACTATGAGAGGAGGACAGGGATGACATTTCTGTTCATCTCGGGTTTAGAGGAGTTTTTATCTACACAGACTTTAGCAAATTCTTGATGCGAGCTAGCTTCTGTGTTCATTCTGTTATTGCATTAGCAAAATAGTATTTATGTTCTTGTCATTTTTCTTTAATGGAACTAAAAACTCTACGGCCTCATAATAATAAATCAAACTACAAGAGTGCATTCTATCCATTGCAGACAGCTTCACAGGCTCAATGTACCTGGCTGTACTAGATATAGGATGAATGAAAAGGGGTTTTATGATATTGTGTTGAGGACCACATGTGTGTAGTTTTGTCTGTTAGAGTTATAGTATGCTTGGAAGGAGCAAAAGAGCAATGTGATAAAATAATTTTTCAAAGAAAAATATTCAATGTCTCTATGATTTAAAAACAAAATGGAAAAAAGGAGTATCTGCGGCTGAGTGCTTCCTCATAATTTGTATCTTTGTTATGAGTCATGAAATCAGATTTTTACTGATGTTCTCCTTGAGTTTGGTATTTTAACTAAATTCTATACTTAAAATGATAAAGTATTCAAATTATACCCTTTATTAAGTTCCAACCTTTTAGGATTAAATATAGTGAAATAATACCTAACCATGCATACTTAAAGAAAGTCCAAGCACCAAAACAGTGAAATTAGAGAGCTGGACTTCTATTTTTCTTGAGACAGCTGAGATAGGTTTTGGCTAGGTGAAGCATGCAGAGGAGGGCAGCAGTGCTCCTGTCCTGTCACATCTCTAGCACCATCTCTGGAGCAGGTGCATCCTGCACTGCCTCAGGGACTCTGCCTTGTAGCTTTCCCTCCTTTTCCTCTCTGCTGCTTTTCTCCTGTTGAACATCCAGAACTGTCTGCACACTGCTTTACTGAGCTCCTAGTTTTCTCTAATTTTTAAGGCATTTTACACTCTGCAATCAACTTTTTCTCAGACTGTAGTTCAAATGGCATAGTATTTTTAACTGCTAAGTTTAGGGAGAAGTTAACTGTTATTAAGCAGTTTAGACAAATTTTTCACATCTTTCATCTACCATTTTTTATTTGATAGTGAACGTGAAACAAGATTTCCAATTCTGCCTGGCTTTTGGCAGAAGGCTTTATTTAGAAATATTGTGCCTCCCTTGCCACATTTTTTAGCTGCTCTGTGCAAAGCAAATGGTTATCAGATGTGTTTCTACTAACAAAGCCAATTATGAAAAGTGTTAATTTCACCCTTTGAGCTATGATTCAGAGTCAGAAATATGTTCTAAAATTTAGGTCTTTTGGAGGTGAAAAATGATTTTTTAATAAAGCATAATTAAACATGTTTTATACCTGAAATGCAAATTAAATTATCCTGGCTTTGTAAATGAAGACATTTCAACTCCCTTAAGCTAAAGTTAATCATATTTATGTATCTCACAATGAAATATAACCTGCAATGTTCAATTACTCTTTCTGTTAGAATCACTTTTGCATTTTTAGAAGAATAGTTTCCCATAAGAAGCAATTATACCTACAAACAGTTATGCCTAGGTAAATAGCTTCACATAAAATGTTGACTATTTAAATATAATACAAACTACCTGAATTGCATCTTCATTATTCCTTATTCAATTACATGTTAGCACTAGCATCAGAAATCCACATTCTTCAAATCCACTTAATTTACCCAATTATCTGGAATAATTTTGTTATAGCAATCACTTCAGGTATTTTTTCTTTACTTTGGACATAGGATTGAAGGTACCCTTTAGGACAATTGTTCTGCAGTGAACTTTAGAAACACGGTCAGCTAGACTGGAGAGAAATTTTAAAAATTTGAGGCAGTTTTCTCCTCCTGGCCTACATCTTGACATCAACTCATGGTTTGAAAAACATTTTCTTCTCATTTATTTGGAAGTAGTTTATTTTCTTTTTGGTAGGATGTGAATATCTTGAAGACCAAAAACTTTCTGCAGCAAAGTATACATGCTCAGAGAAGATGTTTTCCTTTTACATTTTGCATCTTGGAAATACTAAGGCAATTTCACAGCCTAAAAGAGTAATCTTCCTGGAAGTTTCTTAGAGAAATATAGTGTGCTGTGTTTAGGATTTACATATTCCATTGGTAGCTTCATGCTATATTGATTTTAGAAATGTTAATAGCATTCAGTGAGGTCTCCCTGCAATTTCAATTTGTGTTTGAACCAATATTAAACACTGATATGGTTCATCTCTTCTACCTGCTGTCTTTCTTGTGATGGGTCACTTAACTACCAATACAGTCCCACCTGCAGTGGCCATGCTATATTTAAAATAGAAGAAATAGTAGTAATCATCCTGGCTGATTAAAAAGGCAGTTTTTAATCAGAGGCTGTGTATTAATATTGGTTTGATTTGGGGTTTTTTAATATTTTGGACTGTAGATAGTTTTGTTTCAGTGGCCTCCCAGCTGTTGTAGCAATCTAGCGATCTCATACTGTCAGCAAAATACATGGGTGGTTCAAAGTGGGGGCTTTGCCTCTTACTGCCAGATCTCATTGAGAAATATGCAATAAGAGGAAGTGGAGAAGATAGGGAGCTGACCTCTCTTGAGTGTGGAAAAGTGCAAGGAAAATTCATAAGGTTAAAAAGTATGTTTCTGGATAATCCTCATGAAATGTGTCATGGCAGCCTTACATGACATGTTGACTTGGCAGTCATGATTGAATTCTCCTATGGGCAGTCTGATGCATATTTATTAAATCAGAAATTTTAGAAAATCTTATATAAAGTAAAAAATTTATCCTTTCTCACATCCTTATTTCTCCTTGTGCTGGCATGGGGCATCCATAGCTTCCCTGTGCAACCTGTTCCAGTGTCTCACCAACCTCATAGGCAAGATCTTTTTCCTAGTATCTGATCTAAATGTACCTTCTTTCAATGTAAAACTATTCCCCCTTGTCCTGTTTCTACATGCCCTTGTAGATACTCTTGCCCCATCTTACCTGTAAGTTCCCTTCAGGTACTAAAGGCCACACTTGGGTCACCCAGAAGCCTCCTCTTTTCCAGGCTGAACAACCCCAGTTCTCTCAGCCCTTCCTTGTAGGAGCGGTGCTCCATTTCTCAGACCATCTTGGGGGCCTCCTCTAGGCTCACTCCAACAGGTCCATGTCCTTCCTATGCTGGGGACCCCCAGCACTGCAGGTGGGGTCTCACCAGAGTGGAGCAAAGGGGCAGAGTCCCCCTCGTTGTCCTGCTGCCCACGGGGCTTTGGATGCACCCCAGGGCACGTTTGACTTTCTGGGCTGTGAGTGCACATTGCTGGCTCATGTCCAGCCTCTCATCCCCAAGTCCTCCTCAGCAGGGCTGCTCTGGATCTGTTCATCCCCCTGTATTGATACTGGGGGTGGCCCCAACCCTGCACTTGGTCTTGTTAAACTACATGAGTTTCCCAAGGGCCCAATTGTTGACTTGTCCAGGTCCCTCTGGGTGATAGCCTGTCTTTCAGGTGTGGCAAAAGCACCACTCAGCTTGGGGTCATCTGAAAATTTGCTGAGGGTGCACTTGATGCCTCTGTCTATGTCATTACTGAAGGTATTAAATAACACTGGTCCCAGTACAGATCCTTGAGGGACACCACTTGTTACTAGTGCCTGGTGGGACTCTGAGCCATTGTTCACTACCCTCTGGATGTGACCATCCAACCAATTCTTAATCCACCCACGGAATCCATCACTCCACTTTGGAGAGAAGGCTGTTGTGGGGGATCATATCAAAGGCTTTACAGAAGTCTGGATAAATGACACCTGTAGTACATCCTTATCCACTGATGTAGTAATTTCATCATAGCTGGTTGGTCAGGCAGGATTTTCCCTTGGTAAAGCCATGCTGGCTGTCTTGAATGACCTCCCTTTCCTCCATGTCCCTCAGCACAGCTTCTGAGAGGATGTGTTCCATGACCTTTCCAGGCACAGAGGAGAGGCTGACAGGCCAATAGTTCCCAGGGTCATCATTTCTACCCTTTTTTAAGATCAGTGTACAATATTGATCATACAGTTACAATCAAATGTACAGCCTGAAAAATTGGCACAGGCTGCTAGACAGTCTTTAAAAGACGCAGGTATACTACACTGGTCTAGCTGGTAATAACAAAAATTTATTTTTTTGTGATGAAGTTCATTGGATGCTCTTTTTTCTAAGATGAAAAACAAATGAACTAATACACTGTGGCATAATTATAATACATCCTTCCAATTACTTTTCAAATAAAAGTGTATTAAAAGAAATACTAATTTGGAGCCTCGTATTTAGAATTAATGGTCTTGTAGGAAATATTTCCTACTTTAAATGTCCAAACCTTTGCAAAGATTAAAGCAAATTAACATTGGTGCTTTTCATTAATTGGTCACTGCAACAAGATGAAATATGGGACTAATTTCATTTATATGGATTAAGAAATGTGTCAGTTTTTCCATTCTGTCTCTCCAGGGCATATTTTTACTGCAAGGCCTGTCATGATGACATCACAGATCCCAAAAGGATAAAAAAATGTGGCTGCAAACGGCGTAAGTAATATTTCTATCCCTCCCTTCCTCTCCTTTTCATGAACTGTTCAGCCCTGAAGAATACCTGTACATGCATTTACGTGTTTTACACAATGGTACAGAAAAGCTAAGAAATAAATGCACAGCAACACAGTAAGTGATATTTGGGTTTCTGAAGTCCACGTGTTTTTATTACATTTCACACCACTCACACCTGTGTCTTCATTAAAAAGTAAATTAAAATCCAGTGCTAACAAAAAATGAAGAATTAAGTCAAGCTAAATCTTGAATTAAGTCATGCTAAGCCTTGTGCAGGTTTCTGAGTTAAGAATTAGCCAACAGTGAAGTTTTTCTCTCATTCCGAACATGCAGATTCTGCAAAAGAAGAAACTAAGGAATTATATTTTATATAACTATTTAAGTAATTTTTTGTTGAAATAAATGAGCAGTTTTAGTGGAGGAAAGGGTTTTCTGAAAGAAATTGAATATTAGCATCTCTTACATATATCCTTTTAGCTGTAATGCTAATGTTAGGCTTATTTAAGTTCTTAAACTGTTTGGACAGTTTTCAATTAAGAAATAATTGAGCATTTGAATGGAGATGAGACTTTGCATATTAATTTCTATAAATATGTATATGATATGCAAAATATCAGCATTTTACCCATATATACTTTGAAAGGACCTTTTTCAGGAGCTATCACAACCCCACTTTAACCAAAGATGTGTTTGACCCATGCGTATTTGTAATACCAATAGCAAAATTATTTAGGAATCGATTTATCATTGAATATATAAATATTTATGTGCATTCCATGTTATTCTGTCATTAAAAAGATTGTTCAGTTTAAAAGTATTGATTAGGTAAATTGAAAGATCTCAGAAGAGTTCAATCATGCCTATTTTACCATTATTTTTAAATGGGAGAAAGCTCTCTTATTTATAACTTGAGTCTGTGTTATCAGTGCACTATTATAGAGGATGGAAGAAAGCCTAAACGGAACATTCTCTGCCTTTTGGAGCACCTGAAATGATTGAGCTTTTGAAGATCATTTTCAAAAGAAAAAAAAAATATCACTGGAGCTTTTTTAAAAAACTCCTCTCCTCCAAAACACCAAGAGTGTGGAACAACAGTATGATAGGGAGAAAGGAACTGGAACTGACAGAAAATGGTATTTATCTTCCCAGTAGCCACAAGGAGAGCAAAGCACATGGAAAGCATGCCTGATGTGGAAGGAATGTATGCATTGCCTAACATATTGGAAAAAAATTGTTCAAGAACAGTTTATCCATGTGAGAATGTGACCTTTGAACTGCTGCCAAAGCCAATGAGTCTGCTGAGTAAGTTCTGGTAAAGCCAGTTACAGATGCCTCAGGGTGCCTGTAACTCACAAATGAAGTCTTTTTTATTCAAAATTACTCAACAGTTAAAGAGAAATATGTTACCTGCTTAATTTTATCTGGTTCTGTCAAGAAAAAAACAACAACAAAAAAAACCAAAAAAAAAAAAACCCTACTTTATTTCTATTTTCTTCTCTACTCCTCCTTCACATGGTGTATGCTTTTTAAACATGTCTTGCTTAAAAAAAAGAATAAATACCAAAGATCTCTCAGTTTAATGTGAGAACTACACTTTTCATTGTCATCTGCTAGAAGATAGGAATCAGGAACTCACATAATAAAGGTTAAGAGCCCTTTATTATTACACGTTAATGAGAATCAAGGAAACCTTCTCAGTATTTTGAAACCTGGGAGGAAGCAGGGTATGACCCAGCCAACACAATGGATATTACCAGCAGTAAGACCATGAAGAGGCAAGAGTAACAATTTTTGTAAGTAGCAGTTGGAAGGTTTACAAATGGCATGGTCACACATATCAGTCCAATAAATGAAAAGGTGTTGGGCAGATGAACAAACAAAATGATTGAGTTAGTGAGGTAGAAGAAGAAGGCAGCTCTCAGAGCTGTTGCAGTGAGCACTGAACGCTAAGGAGGGAATCCTCTGAGTCAGGTGAAAAATAAGGGTCAGAGAGAATAACATCTTAAATTTCCCTTTCATCATCTCCCCTCTCCTCAGTCTGCCCTCTCTCCTCCTCTTTCTTAGGCATACCAGGAGTCACAGATACCACAATAGCAGGCAGCCTGTAGTAGAGCTGAATACAGCTTTCAATGAGGAGCATGCTCACAAGTATTAGAAATAAGGCAATTGCTTTTCTTTTAAAGAGCTGTCAGTCAGAAGAAAAACCAAAATGAAAGATTTCAATAGTAATTAGTGATTTTTGTTTCTCAAATTTTGTTGACAATTTTGAAATCCCTTTTATGGGATCTGTTTTTTGGGTTGGGGTTCTTCTTTAAGGTAAGTCTTCAGCACAGAATGTTATTCACATAAAATGTTTTAGCTTTCAAATCACTAATCACTTTTGAAAAAGCTTAGATATGTTATCCATCTGTAAATTATGCAAATCATTGGTCTTAAAAATGCAATTTTAACCAAAACAAAGCATAAATTGAGAAAACTTTCTCGCTGTTGAGTTAGAAAACTGTCAACTGTGATGTCAATATGTAATACACACTATGCCAACTTGATTTTTGACACTGCATACACATGCATCTATATAGTTCTATATGACAAATACATGCTTTAATGAGCAAGTAACATAGTAATTAGAGGCAGCTGAATGTGGAGAATATGTAAGATGAAAGGAAAAGTTGTATATAAAAATATTGACACATTCAGGTGAACTAAATGTGAAAGAAATGGAAAACTTAATTATGGTGGCTCTAAATAATGCAGTTTCCCATAATGCTTAACCCGCATTCTTTAATACTGCATCTGAGGTTGCACTTCAGTTTAGATACTTTCTGATTATTAGCTTGGGGTATTGTTGAGGTCTAAACATGAGCCTGACCTACATAGCCATTTGTCCAAACTTGTTAGACCTAATATTAATAATTCAGGGCAGATCAGTACATTTCTACTAGGCCAAAGATAATTAATGTAATCCTGCTTTTCTTTTGCAGTTTCTTTGCCACCCCTTTTTCCTTACCCATCCCACTCCCTGAATAACACATAAATGCTGATGGCATATTGTCCAAAGAAATACTTCTGTGGAAATTTTATTCGCAGATTGTTAATTTTTTTTTAATGTTTTCAATCTCTTTCCTACTCCACTTAACTGTAGTTTTTGCAGCAAGAGGCCAAATATATGTATATATTTACATAAAAAGCTACCACGTTGGGATGAAATCTCTAAACTGGATGACCTGTTCCTCCTGTTTCTTTCATTTTGTGCAACAGCTATGGTCTAATTTTCTATATATTTTTTCCAGTGACAGTGTGACAGGCTTGCTGTGAACGGTGGGGGTTGAACCCCAGAGGGGACAAATCATGTGTACATTGATATGTTTGAAGAAATTTCTTGTAATCTATGACAATTGACAAACTTTTGATTTATTTTTCCTCTTGCTGCCTTGGAACACGGCCCCTACTATATTTTAACTGCACACTGATAGTGATCTATTGTGAGTAAAAATGGGTTCCCTGTAGCCCAGAGTGCGGTCCAACCTGTCTTTCTCTAGAAGAGAGTATTTTTGTTCAGTATTTTGGTTCTTTTCTTTATTTATGTTGCATGTAGCAGTGACGTCATACCCACAAGTTTCTCATCGTTTACACCAATGGAGATTAGGGTGACGTTGAAGAAAATACAGCAGTTTTCCCTTCTTCAGCCTATTTGCCCCTTTTTTCCACAAGCTTATTTTTTATCCCTAAATGAAAATTAGATCTTGGCAATAGTATTTCCTTGAAATTCTAGAGATATTTCATGAATTTTTAGGGATATTAGTTAGGCTGGGGTAATTGCCACTATAACACTCTTTGCCTGGGTAAATACAATTTAATTGTTAGGCTCCTGTTTAGTTTTTTGGTACTTTGTCCTTTCCATTGCACAGCTGACACAAAGAGTAGCACAGCAGTCTTTTACCGTCCTTATCTAACTTTTTGCTCCCCAATGACAGAAAAAAACAGTTACGGGAGAAAGCTAGACGGTGAATTAGAACTGTGGGTTTTTTATGCATAAACCCAGAGATATCTTCAACAGGAAACAAACTGCAGTGATTATTTTCCTGATCTTGCTGGTTTTGACACTACTTACATAAGTAGACACACACTGACTTTTCAGGACCTTAGCTGTAAAGTTTAACAGTACTATTATATATAGAATGTGAACTTTATGGACCACTTCATGTCAATCTAGGTCATACCACTTGAAACTACAGAACCTATGAAGGCTCTCATCAGCCACTTTGTGTGTACACTCATAAATACAGCTTTTGGGACATGGAAAGAATTTGCTGCTTAGAAATGTGCTGGTGCAAGTACATGGTACTGTACAATGCTGTGCAGTATGTACAGGTACTGTACAAGTGCTGCAAAGAAATGTAGTGGTTATAGGGAAGTGCTGGGATTATATGGGCTTGTTCTTCCAAAGAGCAAGGGGGATCAAGTATCTCATAGCTGCAAGCTCATAGTGCAGCGTTGCTGTGCCAGATTGAGGCTGTAACTTTACTGTGTAGCTGCAGCTATTCTAAGTAAAGGAGGCCATGAAACTTCAACATTTTACCAGATATTCTGAATTTATTGTGTGCAAACACTTCAGATCTTAATGAGGATTGAGATAATTTCCCCCTCTCAGCTCTGCACACTGTAGGATCTTGCAAAGAATCAAGGAATAATTTTTGCTTATGATAAAGTTCTGGCCTTCTTGAAATTATGGTGGCCTGCATTATGATTATCATTATTTACTATTTATTTTTTCGTGGGGCCTGCAAACTACACTAAAGGATTGAGATCCTGTTGTAGAAGAAAACATTCAAGGATAGAACAGAAATTTCTCCAAACATCTATTTTTAGCCAATAGAAAGAGGAAGCCGCAGGAAAAAGCAGATTGTGAAACAGGTCAACATGATAAGAATCAACAGTAAACCAAATAAATTCTACGGATGAACTGGTGAATCCTATTGACTTTGAGGCAAAATACTGGAAGTAATCTGGATTTATCTGAAGCAATGTATTTATTTAAAATATGTTCTTATGTTGAGACCTTTCTGAACTAAAGAAATTTATTTAAATGTTAATAAATAAGTAATGGAGTTCTTCATGCTGTGAAAGAACTAGAAAAGAAAAGGTCATGTAGTTTTGGTTTGGTTTTTTTCCATTTCCCCAATAGCTTAAGTTTGTTTAGAAATGTAGTTTGCTTTGAGAGTACACTGGCTGAGAGTCTTCTGTAAGGTAATGAAGGAAAGGTCATTATCAGATTTGAAAATTAAAATGAATTGGTCTATAAATGTGCTATTAAATAAAAACCTGTGAGTCATTCTTATATCTACTAAAATAGGGCAAGTTGTCCACTCAGATCTCCTGCTGTTTCTACAGTTTTGACATAGGACAGCACCTTGTGAATTGGAGCGAACAAGTTACCAGTTGACATTGATAGCAAAAATTGGGAGAGAGTGAACAAGCCGACTTATTAGTCTTGAAGTTGTCTTGTAAAAATTAAATAATGGAGAGATAGACTTGCCTGTTGTGTTAAGGTTAATAAATTCTTACAAGCAGTTTAAGGTACACTGCTGTATTTTTCAGGAAACTGAAACTGTGCTGGGGGAAGTCCTGTCTGTGTTTCAGTCTCATGATGCTAACCAGCATTGCTGGCAGGCGATCACTCCGTTCTGGTCGCCTTTAATGCTGATGATTTTTCACTCATTGTTTGGATCATGAGAACTTGAAGAATTGAAATAACATTGTGCATTTCAATTCTGAAGCGTCTTGGGACCTTTTTATACCTTTTTGTGCCATTCGGTGGTCAGGAAGCCTCCCGTTCCTGCTCCTAAGCAGTTGCTGCCTGAGAGAGATCCACTAGATGTCCTCGGAGCTCTACCCTGGCTGCGCTGAGCCCAGGGAAAAGCCTAGCGACAGGAGCACCACCAGGATGGGGTACAGCCCGTGGGTCACGAAAAATCAGGAAAGAAGAAGGAATACTTTGTTCTGCTTTCTTTAAAGAAAGAAAAAAAAAAGAAAAGAAAAAGATAAAGGAGCTGTTCCTTGACATTTTAGGTAGAGAATAATCTGCAGTTTCCTTTGCTTATTTTTGCAGCTGGAAATATTTCCCATTACTGTTTGTGAACTCTAAGTAACACTTCAGATCCAGACAATCTACACATTTTAATTGTACTTTTTGACTTTTTGAGATCAGAAAGTAAGGTATTGTGAGAACCTTAGACATCTGGGGAACTATTCTTTCCTGTATAGAAAGGAAGGCTACTGCCTTCTGAGAAAAATTGCATCTGAAAGTTTCGAGAAGTATTTACTTTATAAGTAATTGAAAGAAACTTTGGTCTCCTTTTGCTCTTAATTAGTTCCTATGTGCCTTGTTTTGCAAATTATTTAAGGAGTCTTACCTTAATGTCCATAAAAACTTCCCCGGATACTTTTACTGATTAGTTTTACAAATGTTGTGTGATTGTCATCATCTTAAGTAGAAGGATCTGTCTTCTCTTTTTTTTCCTATTTATTATACAATTGAAAATAGGAAAGTAGTTTCCTTTATGTCCCAACTTTTGTTTTCACCAGTAGCAAATTACAATTCTGTTCAACACTTATAACACATCTAGGAGTAGTAATAAGTTGATTCTTATGCAGGTTCTACAGGTGTCAAATAAATTTAACACACACCCAGAGGCTGTTCTTAAGGTCCCCCTGTCTCTTTGATGATTCCCATTTTCTGTTAATGTTTATGGAAGTTTTATAGAAAATGGTATGTGTGTGGCTGAACCATTTAAAATCATTTCTGTGCTGTCTTTGATCTTGTCACTAGTCATCCCTACTAATAATGTGTGTTTTGTTTTATTTGAAATAAGTATTGTATTTGGTGTGAATGTAACTGACTGTATAAAAGGAATGAAGAGTAACAGCATGTTTTCTTTCCAAAAGTTATTGCTCTGATATGCAGTTGCTTATATACTGGTTGAAACCTTGTGGCAAGTCCTTTCTGCTACTTATATTTCCAGGTCCTGGCCTGTTTCGTGCATGTTAACGATGTGAAATATTCAAATGATGCATGATTTCCAGAACAACTGACAATAATAGTTAAAAACAGTCCCTGAAGGGTATTGCTTTTGAGAAACGCCATCATATCCTTCCCCTATTGAAGAGAAGGCCTTAAATTTCCAACTTTATTGGTTAAAGTATGATGAAAATGGTACAAAAAGTTTTCCTTCCCAGCCTTCTTTGCCCTTAAGGATTATTTATTTTTAATTTCCATAAATGTGTCCTATCCTATTATTGACTGTTGACAAGATATGGCCAGAAGTAAATGAAAACCAGGGACTGTTGCTAACCAATGATGTAGCAGTTGGGAATTTCTGAGCAGTGTGTTTTGCTACAGTGTTTGATTAGAAAAAGTCCTTCAAAACAGCTATAATTACAGCAAAATGAGCCTGCTTTTTTTACCTCACCTACTGTCAGTGTGTCTCACAAATGCCCTTGATTTTTCTCTAATTTCCTTAAAAAATAAGAAAGTAGGCATACTGGAAAGACTGTCACGCTTTTGGTAACTTACTTTACTTTTCTTTTGCTGTCCAACTTTTCAACTTTAAAGAATGTGTTGGGAAGAGTTAGAGGGAAAACATGGGAAAATGCTGTTTTGAATTTTCTATGTAGTTTGAATGTGTATGCATCAAAAGCTGCAGTGGAAACCTTCTTACTAAACGCCAAGCTCTGAGGAATGATGTACTATGCAATGAACAAGCCTGATGCTGCATGATGAATTTCTGAACAGCTGTAAGATTACTCTACTAGGATGCTAAAAGAACATGGCATTAGTCATGTGAGCAAAGTTTTAGAGGAATGGGGTCGCTGCTGAAGAGATCACTCATTCATCTCCCTCAATGCCTGTTTTCCACAATCATAACGTTACCCTTGCTTGACAAGTATACTGTATGGCAAGCCATCAAGGCCTTAGAACAGGACTTGACCCATCCGAGTGATTTCAATCCCTCTTTCCTGGTGACTGTGGGATTAAGAAACTGGAAAAAAAAATTCTCTTAAATTTAATGTCATTACCATAATGCGAAAAAGCCATCCTAAACTGAAGGTACAGGCCAGAGAAACATTACCTTTTTTCAGCATTTGCTTTTAAGGTTTTGTTTTTGCCTGTCAGTGTTGTTTTGTTTTTAGTATAATTGAGTCAGTTCAATCTAAACCATTACCAAAAGTTGGTTCAGTGCAGCATGTGAAACAATCTAAATGGCCTTTGGATTCCTTGAGACCTAAACACACCTGATTCAGATGATATACAAAATTCCAGGATGGTAATTATACATGCATTTCTAAAATAGGATGCTCTATATTTCTAGAAATACATAACCAGGACATTCAGATGACTGAAAAATAAAGATGTTCTCTCTAACCTGGCACTTATTTTGGAACTAACACCTAATTCCATGTTCAGTTATTTTTTTCTTGATTGGCTTTTGAATCCAGAGCAGAAATCATGCCAATGATTGTTTCAGCATGTTTCAGTGGACCAATGCTCTGTGTGCTTTTGGTGATGCCTTATTTGTGAACTGAACTTAATGTCGAGCATATTTACCATTTTAATTTCTGTCTCTTATATGGGCAAATTTTGGTATTCTGTCAAGAGTTAATTTGATTTCCTGAAGATAAAATGTAAGCAAAATTAATTTTTTGGAAAATTTTATTAATATATTGTAACTCTTTATTAATGTATAATTAATTGCAGTAAAGGTGTTCCTTGGCACAGTTTAATACAGAAAAAATATTATATTACATTTAGGAATAAATATATGTATATATATGTGTGTATGTGTAATGCATATGTGTGTATGAGTGTGTGTATGTAAGAATATATGCGTATGTGTGTTTCTGTGTGTGTGTACATACATATATATATTTATATATGAAGAAATCTCTGATTTTTACAGGAAACAGGATAGGCCAAAATATCTAATGGACTAGCAACTTTTGTTTTCATTTTAACCCAATGGTATTAATTGTGCCAAGGGAAAAGCATATTCTTAGTATTCTGTGCTTTTACTGTGTTCTATTGTGATCCAAACACTTGACTGTAAACAGTAGTTTTTCCCCATGACTGCGGTCACCCTCTAAGACTGAACAGAAATAAAGAGCAATTAATCTTTTGCCCTACTTTTAATGTACAGCCAAAGTGTTATCAATAATCTCATTGCATTTTTTTTTCCTGGGTCAAGACTGTTAACATTAACTAAGGCCTGTACTAAATCCCTTAAATTACCTTCCAGCTGCCTTGTTATATATATAACCTTGCCATTAACCTGCTGCTCTTCCTCTCCTCCCATCCAACACATGGTTATAGCCAAGATGTCCATCTACAAGAGAATGAGACTGGCATGTTGTTTTGATTGCGGACGCTCTGAGCGTGACTGCTCTTGCATGTCAGGCAGTGTACATAGTAACATGGACACCCTTGAGAGAGCCTTCCCACTTTCTTCTGTCTCTGTTAATGATTGCTCCACCAGTTTACGTGCCTGTAAGTTTTAACACCAACACATGCTGTTCCATGTTTGTGGTGTCTGTGGTATCATCCCTGTCTTGTGTCGTGCATTGTAGTTCTGTGAGTTTTACTGGGCTGATGCTTTTTCAAAAAATCAACCCAAATTTTGATCACAGCTCTGTATTTATATTTCTGTTTTTATTTTTAATGCAAAAAACGTAAATCATTATTTTGCTTTATGTGCTTTTTATGAAGCATCCTCTTGCAATAGCAATAGTCTGCAGGACCTTAGTAGTGCAGTGTTGTGACATCTTTTCTATTTAATTTATACAATACAAATTGTCATTAATTAAGCAATAAGTGCTTTGGTGGAGGACCAGACCTGTGTCTAAATCTGTGACTTGGTGCCAAGTGGATGGCTTTAATACTGCTTCCACTAGAGCATCATACAATGGGCAGTGAATAAATATACAAGATACAACGTGGTAGCTGAACTGTAGAAGCTGGAATTCTATTCTGTGTCGCTACTTTTACCTTTAGTTTTGCTTGTAACTCTTTATTCTCAGGGAAGCAGGATCTTCCATCTAATACTGAAGCCACAGAGGAGTTTGCACTTTTGTAAAATCAGTTGTACTTTTTGTAGTGCCTTTTAAGAAAAACTAGGCTGATGCAAATCCCTGGTACAAACGTTTTGAAATTAAATGTAGAATTTGTTCCATAGGACAGTAACATTGTGGAACATGCCCTGAAAGCTTTTTTAAAAGATGAGAGTCAAGAGAGAGAAGACAGAGAACCTAGAACAATTCTGCACTGCCATTAATTCTTTGGACAAACTGTAGGGATTCCGAAGCTTGGATTATCAGTGTGATGTCATCAACTGAGGAAGATTGTTAAATGGCTTTTTGTTTGTTTGTTCGTTTCATTTTCTTGTCTTCTTTATTTATTCTTAACAGGCACAACTATGTCTCGGGACTGGAGCTGTTTTCCTTTCCCTACCCAAATGGCAAAGAAAAGCTATAAAATTATTCAGATACAGCTATGAGAATAGATTGAAGTTTTGGTCAGGAAGCATATCCTTTTTCCAAGACAAGTCATTATGTAGGGAAGTGCCTTCTGCTATGAAGACTATAATGTAGTTTTTAGATTATGCACCTAGTTGTCTTTTGGTACCATATGTATTGCAGTATGTAGCCCAAGTGGCGAATGATTTCGCTTTAACTACTTTGACTTATGAACTATTTTTCCAGTCACAGATATAAAAATTCTATAATTGTTACATTTCTTTTGTCTGAAGACCATATTAATTAAAAGTATTCCAGTAGGATTTATTGGAGATTTTACCAAAAATCATCTCTGTGTATAAGCACTCAGAACATCCTAGCTTTCTACTTGCTTGCAAGTCATGTCTAACCATAAGGTGGATGGTTCCAGTTTTAAATTCAGTTCTAAATCACAGGAGGTTTTATCCATTAATAAGAATTTTATCAGGTAAAATTTAGTAAAGCATACTTTGTTAAGAAAAGTGAACAAGAAATCTTCCTGTATAGAGAATTGCTGCAGGCAGATTTTTGTACAGTGTAACAGCTTCAGTAACACCATGCCTGGTAGAGTTTGTAGAGTACAGACTGGTGCAGAGAGTTTGTGGCTTGGTCCTGGCACTGGTGTTAACAGCAACCAGATTAGTATAAATTAATATGTCCCCTGCAAGTAGGTAAAATTTCTGCCATTAGCACTGTTTGGCAAGGAAAGAAAAACTAATTTGTAGGTTTACCATAGCTTTCAAGTCCACTTAAGACTCTACAGAGGCAGGTAAAGTAAACATTTTTGATTGTGTTGCCTGCTGAGCCAAAACCCTCCACAATAATGGTATTATTTCCAACAAAAGCCAGAGCTTTTTGGGAAACATGTTAGAACTATGTTATATTTTGAAGGATAAGTGATATTGACAGCTTTGTGAATTTTTAGCATCCTATCCTTCATGGGCCTTTCCCCCCCTTCATCACTCCATCAAATCAAAAGAGATCTCAGTCTTCCCCTTGTGAGACTAGTCACCTTTGACTGTTAATAATAAGTACGAAAATCAATACCAATTCACACTCTTTGCAAAGCAGCATAAGCCTTTCTTTTCCAATTAAAATATATATATGCACACAACATTGCACTGGCAGGGCTTCAATAGAAATCAGTGTGTTTTCTTTGCAGCGCACAGGGGTCGGACGATGCCCATCTTGACAGAGCTAGTTAGCTCAAAGAATGGTGGGGAGAGTCAGCTTTTCATTAAATATGAGCAGATGTGAAATGTAGAGTGTTTGACAATTAGAAATGGCAGCAGCAGGGCCCCAGAATCAAAGTGAGGTCAGATTGGTGGATCAGATTACCTCTCTTACATTCTTTAGTTGTTCTGAAAATCATTTTAAATTAGTGTCAGTGGAGCCGTGATGGGTTTTGCCCTTTGTCTTTTATGCTACGACTGTATTGTTTCCCCAGACACTCATTAAAGGTCATTATACTATTACAGGGCTTGCTTTGGTCGTGGTGCCCCAGTTGAGTTGGTCTGCTTCCACAATTGCTTAATGTACTTCTTTCTTTCTTTCTTTTTTTTTTTTTTTACTTTCGATTATAAAAGCAGGCTTTTTTTCCAAGGTAAATAAAATCACAAACCCTTGTAGGAAGCTTCTTGAAACAATGAGTAGTTTTTGTAAGAATTAGTGCTGTTTCTAAAAATCTGATGTTGAGTAGAAGATATCCATTTACATATTCAGTGGTGTACACCGGATTTAATCTTTTAATTGTATAATCTGCAGAGAAAGTAACACTTGCAGTGTATTTTTCATTGTGAATAAGTCTCTCTGTTATTATATTGTTTCTACCTTCAACAAATGAAAATGGCATTTTGATTAGATATAATTACATTAAAAGAGCTTTTGAGTTTATAGGCTATTTTCTGAAAAAATATACTTACAGTTTTTCTAAGTGTAAGGAAAGAGAATTTTAAGTCTTTTTGTATCTACATTTTTTCAGGTTTAGCTGTATTTGGTAGATTACTACATGAATGGCAAATGGTCCAAATATTTTTGCATTGGAGACTCAAGTCAAAGTGAAGAGAGGCACTTAGCCACTGAAAAACTTGGGGAGGTTTATGCAATGAAGTTATGTTATTAGCGAGTGTGATGTTTCTGCTTAGGTCTGTGCCAAGTCTTGGGGGGTGCCATTTAAATGATTAATTGATACAGACAGAATCTTAACCTGAACCATTAAATTTCTGTGTTTCTCCGCCACCATATGGCTGTGCTTCTCAGGAACATGAAAAGTTCATGTTCCTAAAGGAAACCTTTCCTTAAGTTGTTGCACTCACTGCCATGGGAATTTAAATTTTCAAGGATATTCTTGATATTAGGCCCAGACATATCTAATTCTGCTTGTAAGAAAACATGCTTTTGCATGCTCTGGTAGTTCTGAGAAGCTTTATGAGAAGACTTTTCCTTTGGTGAATATCAGGGATCTCTGGAGACAAAAGAAAAGAATAATTATTGCTATATTTTGAATTCAGGGCTCAGCCCAGACTATTAGGCATCTTACGTGGAAAGATCATACTAAGAAAAGCTGGAAAAAGCTTAACTTTTAAAAGAAGCAAAGCATGTATCTACCTGTGTGCCAGACCCAGTTTACAGTCATATATTCCATATAGTCTTCTACTATCGGCACATGTTTTATTCTGTACAGACAAGTTAGCTGCTGAATCTTTCTCAAAGGACCTAAAATCACATTCTGCAAGGTTAGGTGAGCATTTTGGATACCAAGGTTAGTAAACTAACCTGTGCTAAGACTATAACTGGTGATGGGACCATAGCAAGCCAAGAAAAGCTCCACTTTCTTCTTTGACTGTAGACTCTGCCTGTGTGTCTTTACAGCTAGAAAAGCCAAATTCTATACTGAGAATTGAAATTATGTATAACTTACTGATTTATCCAGGAAGATGGATGTGTAACAGATGCAGACATTGGTCGGTGTATCTAAAATTCATCAGTTGTGTAAATATGCTTGGGCTTTTCTAAATGAGTTGACAATAATTAAGTCCCAGGAATGATCCCTCCAAACTAAGCTGTTTTCAGAAGGTAGAATGGTAAAAATGAGACAACCTGGCTCATTGTTAGATAATATAAATAATGAGGCATGCACTTTTTCAGGTGAGTTTTGTGATGCAGCGTATATCCCTATGCTGATGAGAGTAAGCTCTGCCCAATTTGTGATGTCTGTAACAAGGAGATGAACTCCCACATCATCATGGGTTGGAGGCACTGCTAAGTTTAGCAGTGAAACCTTTGAAAAATTGGGATAGTGGGGGAAGGAAAGATCAAAAAGTCTGCTTTTAATTTCTTTAGGCCTTTATGTTGGTAGTGATTCTTGCCAGGGTCACAGGAAGGGACTAGGGAGTGGCTTGCTTTTATGGGTACAAGCTAGGAAAGATGCTGTCTGCATCCTGTGGAGTGAATTTAGCAGAAGGTCTTATGCAAGGTGACATGGAAATTATGTTTGCATTTTTAGTTCCTGAGTGTGGCTGGTTGTCATGAAACTCACCATGACAGTTTCTTACCACCAGGCAGCAGATTCTTCCTGTTACCTCCTTGGTGTGGGACAGATGCTGGCCAGTTAGGTCTCCTTCTCTACTGCTTTTGAGCTATTTCAAGCGACAGATGCCAGAGCTGGCTCGGTTTCAGCTTGAGCATTTCTGTCATAGTCCTGCCTTGAGCCCAAATTCTGACCTTTACTATATGAAGTAAAGTATTTATGAACAAGCAGTGGCTTGATCCAGAGCAGGCTTAGAGCAAATGTCAAGTGTCAAGTCAGTCTCCTGCCTCCTTATACCACCTGCATTAGGAACCTGGATTAGACCCTAGACTACAGCATTGACTGCCTTAGGCTTTATGGGTCTGGAGAGACATAACTTATTAACAAAGAGTTATTAAATTTTTATCAGTTTTATAACGCAATGTAAATGCCTTCTATGAATCTACATTGTATTCATTATCATTTAA